TTTTTTTTTTTTTTTTTTTTTTTTTTTGAAACAAAACGACATATATATTAAAGAAGAAAGAACAATTGGAGTGACAGTAGTGCGCGGGTGCATGTAATATAGTCTAGAACTTCAAAGAACAAGAAGTGAAAGATAATAAAAAAGTTGTCATATAAAAACAGATACAATGGATGAGACCGATACATAATGAAGATAAAGATTAATTAATAATTATGATACAAAGTAAATAATTATTATATATAATTCATTGAAATGGTTTAAAGTTTAAATAAAGCAAAAAAAAAAAAAACAAACAAACTCGAGAACATTATCGTATTTCTTATGTCTTACGAAATGTCACTACAGCTTGTCAGTCGCCCAATAAATTTGAAGTTACGTATAATTTATTTTTACGCTTTACATTAAAAAATTGTAAGAGCTATAATATTCGATTTAATGAAGCGATATTCGCAGAACAGCCGATTTGCTATTTGTGAGTTAGGCAAATTACAGATCACAAGTGTGGATAAGTAGGTCAATTTTAAGTAAATTATATTTGAAGTATATGCAAAAAAAAAAAAAAAACTATTGATAACCAAGTCTGACGCAAAGGCGAGGAGGTTCTTCCTATTATAGTAACAAATATAACAGAATTACTAATTTATATCTTGTGAATTTACAATGTATTCAACTGTATGGAGAAAAATACACATTCATAATTAAAAATGGGTGAAAGTAAAGAGTGAACATAACATTACGAACTATGGTTTCGTAATTCAAAATATGTTGAAATTAGAAAACGGAAGGATACAAATGGTGTGCATATTAAGGCGCTACTATTTTTTAACACTAGTTATTTATGAACATTGAGAGAGCAGATTATATGCGTGATGGAATGTCTGCACAATTCAGGACGGTGTAGCAAATTGTATAAAATTATTATACTAATTTAAAATACAGTGTGGAGAAGTTTCTTAAATAAAGAGAAACATTAGACAGAAAACGATATAGCTATAGTTTTTTGTCTAATGTTTCTCATATTAAATATATTCTCTTTATTTAAGAAATTGTAATTTCTAATTAATATTGAAATATTGAAATTTGTTGTTACTTCAATTTTATAAAGTCTGCGTTGTTGAAGGGATAAAAGGTTACCATATATTCTATCCGACTGACTTAAATCATATTTATGTATAAACACATGTTTATACATGTATACGTACATATAAACAAACAATGTAAAAAAATCTAATACTTGCTTACAATAGAAAATTTATAGTACGTTCGTAAATTATTATGATAAAGGCCCTTCATCATCGCGACTTCTTATTTCATTGTATGTTTACTTTTTTTTTTATCGAATCTTGTATTGATATTATCCATTTACTCCAAATTTATATTTTGTTTGGTAATCTAGAATTTATTACAACATGTTGAAAAAATTCTTGTATATTTTTTTTTATCAGTTATATAATAGCAGGTTTTAAAGTATAAAATACAGAATATTTTTTTGAACATACAGAAACGAAGTGAAACTAGAAAAGAAATGAGAAGAATGAAAATATAAAGGAGAAATCACATCCATGGCTATTGCTTTTTTCACACTGTAAAAATGAAATATACGCGAAATACAAGAGAATGAAAGATTTTATGAATGAGCTGAGTATTAATGATTTGTAATATTTGTCTCCTTGAAAGATTCCATTCTACTTCAGTAGAATGTATCATTCGACGGGATGAAACATGAAATACACTCGAGATATAGTAAATATATAAAATTACAATAATTTATATATTAAAAAAAACGTTGTTGGAAACATGTCGAGAAGTGAATTACAACAAAAACAAAAAAATTATCGCTGTAAATATTTAATAAGTAAATATTGTAAGTGAGATTTGGTCAGGCTGAAGAAAGAAGGCAGCATTGTTATTATGCTGTTTGGAATGTTGCACGTGCATGCGACGCATTGTGCTGATGGTTCACGTATGAATACGCAAATATATTTACTATTTTGCATATATTTGCGTGTACTTACGTTTAATATACATATACAAAATATAAATTCACAAATTCCAAAACACAATACACAAATACACACATACACTTCTATGATAAATCATATCTATACGAGAAAAAAAAAAAAATAAAAAAGAACTCCATGTCAAACTGTTGTTGATTATTTTCTTGAATATATGCCTGTCTAGATGCATCGATCATAACGCCGAAGAAATTCATTAACTAAATCAGTAATCTATATATTTTTTTGTAACACTATTCGTATAATATTGTTTCTATAATTCTGATCGAAATACGTGTAATATTGAACTAGTGTATTACACGCGATTTGATAAATCTTACTGAAGTTCCAACGTTAACATCTGATGCACTTGAATTTTAAAAATTGTAGATATTGTATACTTGACAGGATGTAATAATTGACAGTATAACATTAAGATGCAATAATTATAACCGTACTGTAACGTATCACATAAATACGCATTAAAAAGAAAAACACTAAACGCGTAATATCCTATATTGTATATTTATTACAATGTAGTTATTTTATATGTATGTAATATAATTGAAATAATTTATAACAAAATAATAAGGCTTCTGATGTACATCCACCAAAATATTAGTTAACTTTCACTATTTTCCATTTCTTTTGACTTAAAAATGCTAAGAATAATATATAATATACGATATCTTCAAGGATTTCTATGTATGAAAATTATTTAACAAAGGATAAGTAGGATAACCACATTTTCTTTATGTTAATGTATAACATTTACATACATATATGTATATATAACAAACAATACCAATGAATATTTTACATTTTCAATTTATTTATGCGTTTATAATATTCCATACATGCAATAAAGTATCTCTTATCTTTAACACTTTCCTTCATTTTGTTACTCTTACTGTTTAAGAAAAGAATTTACTGCAAATCGGAAGATCTTCTAAAGTGTGCAGAGGTCGTGAACGGACCTTCGTCAGCAAATCCAGCGATCTCTTGTGGGATAATTGCATATTCTTCTACGCTAGTACATGGTCTACACATACACTCTAAAGGTGCCTTGGTAATTACCTATGAACAAATGATTACCAAATAAATTCAGTGAGTTTTATAAACTTAAATTTTATCAAGTAGAAATATTTCGTTTCATTTTCATATATAATAAAAAAATATATATATATATATACATAGATTTGATATATATATATATATATATATATATTGATCATAAATGATATAAATAAACGCAATTTTATATTTTGTAAATGATTTTTTAATCCAATCCAATTCAAATCACGCGCGATATTCATTTTCTGATGCGCTTCCCACTAGTCGGTTAAATGAAAACAACATGGCTGTGAGAAACTCGTGGTGTCAAAAGATTTGTTCCTGATTTTGTAGCGCGAGTGATTAATCGGCCGACGTTTCATTAATTTATAACATTTTTAACAAAATATCCAAAATTCTATAATTAAATCAGACGAATAACCTAACCTTTCGGAATTTTTTTTCGCCTGGTTTGGCCCTCGGACAAAATAGGGATACGCTGGCCTCTCGTTCGCCGCTTTCTTGACAACACATGCAGCTCCTCTCCATTTGCCAAATTTTTGATCCGGATACCTGTAGAACAGGTACGAATGGATGGATGTTCATACATATTAACTTGACAACTTTCTATAAGATATATCATTGAAATAGCATTGTGCAAAATATTATGGTGTCCAGTAAATGTTAATGTAAAACTGATACCTGACGGTGTTTATAGGAATTGCAAATAACAGAAATAACAGAAAATGTTCAGAGTTTTTTTATATGTATGCTGCAACTATGAATGAAAGACACAGTGGTAACCTTATTATACAAATCAAAAATAATATTTAAATATGTCATAAATATATGAGAATATTTTTGAGTTTAAATGTTTACATAAACTTAAATTATTTGAACATTAACATTGACACTAAATAATATTGAATGATATTAATTATAAAAAATTTGATTTACAAAATTGTTTGATATTGATGTTTTTATATATTTTGAATCAATGGTCTAGGAGTTGGTTGAAGATATATGAAATTAGATAAATATTCCTTAAACAACTTGTTTTTAATGCCAACATAAAATACGGCCTTAAATTTATTTATATAAAAATAAAATGTAGTACATTATTCTATATAACTTATTTTTTTGTTTTACCTGCAGATAACTACTACAACGTCCTCTACATGCATAACTAGGAATTGGTTTTGGTACACATCCTGGATATTGCAAAAAGTGAATGACTGGAGTTGCTTGACATTCATCAACGCCTATAATAGCTTTTGTTGTTTCGCTTAGCAGACATATTAATACACTGGCACCTACTACACAGTAAGTAACAAAATTACATTGATATATGTACATTATATGTTTATGTTTTTGTTTTGTTTATTATTTTAAAGGTATTTTTATTTTTTTATATTAATTTTAGTTTTAATTTAAATATGTTTATTGCAATTCTTTATTTACCAATATGATAGAGCAACATAGTGTTAGCACGACACTTTTCCTCTTAGATCTACTACGTTACTGTGCTTGGAAATTACAAGTTCTATCCTTTTATACTCTGTAGGTGACCATGTTTTCTCCCTTCCCTTTTGATGCTTATGTTAATAGCACTAGGAAAGGAGTCAAATATATAGAAGTTCTATATTAGACAATAAAAATGTTTCTGAAAACATCATATATAGCAAGTATTTTCATCAAATATTTTTTTGTCCTTCATAAAAAATTATTTCCATAAAATATTAATATTGAATATTACAAAAGCTATTATTTATAAATCTAAAAGTAGGTTTCAACTTTGTATTATTTTTTTCTAAATTAAAATTTCTTTTATATTATATGTCTATTATATTATAAGTTATCACCATATATTTACAAATTTATGTATTGGTAATAATTGTATGCATGGAACATATACGTATATCAAAATATATTATAATTTTACCAACAAGAGATGCTTAAGTTATGAATAATTTTTATGAAAGACTATGAAAATTTTTGTTGCATAAATTCTATTTAATTTATATAAATTAATTTAAGTTAATTATTCATACAAGCAATATTGCAATAATAGGTTTTTAAGAGTAATTTGTTGTACATAGTACATAATAAAATTCATAATAAAAATAATATATAAAATATAACATTTTATTAATCTAAATAGAAAAATTATTTTGTATGTTTTATACCATATATATATATTTAGCTGTTCAAAATTCTAAAATGTAGCATTATTAATATTTTTAAAATGTTATTACTTACCTTTTAACAAATATCATTCACGATAAAATTAAAAAATTAATTATTTGTTGTATATTCATTATACAACAAATTAATTATTTATTTACTATTTTTAATATTTTAATTTGATTGTTATAATAATATATATTAATTTAATTTTTGTGGTATCTCATCACTTATTGATATTCTAATTCTATCTGTGTATATTAAATAACTTTTTTTATAATCTTAACTTCTTAACTCAGATTATATAATCTTAACTTTTTTTTATAGATAAAATTCTATTTTATAAATGTCTAAATTGATTAAATTTTATTATTTATTAATTACAAAAGAAATAATTATGTATAATATAAAAATGAATATATTTATTGTTTTTTAATATTTAATTTTTTTTAATTTTAAACTAAACATTTAGCTAATATAGCAGTATATTAGTATTTATTTTTTGATACAGTTTATAAATATGAAAAGGAAGGGGGAGTGAATATTTTTAAATACATTCTATTATTTTTATTTTAAATCATATAATTTTTATTACATTTAATTTCTATATATATAAATATATATATGTTTTATTAATATTTTTATAAAATATTTTCATATTTATCGAGATATATCGCCACATTTAATACATTTACATTCTGTTGGTTCTCTTATCTTGATTTCCATTACTCCATCTTCATTTATTAATTTTATACCATCTGCATCATAACAATGATGTAAAGTAATATGCCTTTCTTTTAAATAACTCTCACGACAGCAATAACATTCCTATTGGGGAAATAAAAAAGATCTTCAAAAGTGTTTGTTTTATTGTTTTTATGAAAACTTTATTTTTTTTTAAATAGTCTCACCTTTGAAAATCCTGTTGTACTTACAACACTTGGTTGTACTTGTGAACTACAAAACCCTTCACATTTTGTAACAGATATATCTCCACTACAAGTTCTTTTTAATCGACCTATTTCATCATATTGATCTGAAATAAACAAAAAATATTTTAGTTTTTATTTATTTACATATAAAGTTAATCAAATTAGAATAAGAAATAATACCTTTTGTAATATGTACTTCTGACTGTAATGTTTCACAACTTTCATCATCTGTTACTTGAGCAACTATATCATTGGTATATATAGATGCAATTAATACAAAGAAAATTGTAAATATAAACATTGTGCTAGAATTTTCTTTAATTGATATTTAATCTGTTTCAATATGGTAAAGGTATGGTCAAAGATTTTGTCTGAAATGAAAGAGCAGAAAATGAAACAGATGCTTTTATAGGTAACTTTCCCTCTAACATGTTATTACTTGGGGGTGCTGAACTCCTGCTAGGACATAATAGCATAACTGAATCGAGATAAGTTTCCCTTGCTTTTACATTGTACAGTGTAAGATTTTTTCTAGTATAAGAACTGTACTTTTTCAGTATTTTGCATTATAACTCTAATGGGTTTTTTATGTTTTTGTACACTGTGGGTGACCATATTAAAGAATTGAGATTCTGAGTTTTTTATGCTTTTTATAACATGATTAAAACATAGGTGGCAGTAAAAACATGATAATGAAATCTTGATTGTATCTTTTTTTTATTTATATACACTTCTAATTGAAATGAGATACAAATTAAAAATTCTGATTTAGTGATCATTCCTTGTACTTCCTGGACAATTATCTCTTAAATCATCTTCATCCAGAAAGGCTACTCCACACCAGATACAATAAAAATATTTTTCTCTTAAATACTTAGTTAAAATTTCAAGTTTTTCATCCACAGATAAAGAATCATCATCCTCCTCTGTATCACTATTATCTGTATCATCTTCATTATCTTGAGGCAACCAAAACCATATTTCCTTAGGTTTTTCTATTTCTTGTTGCATATCTAATTTCTGACAAATTTTTTGGCTTTTATACAAGTCTGTTTTTAATAATTGTTCTGTCCTTTTTTGTGCAATTCTATCTCGAAAATCTTTCATACTCTTATTATCTAATCTATCATTAAGTAAATTATCTTTTCTTTTTCTTTCTTTTTTTATAATTTCTTTCCCTAAACCTTGTCTGTCTAATTTTATTTCAAGACCAATTGGTTCAGTCCTTCCTGATTCTGTTTTACCTATTCCGTGACCAGGTTTATATCCCATTTTCATAATCATTTCATAACCTATCAAATACATAAATTTGTATAATCAAGCATTGCAGTAAAATAGAAATTTCATAAAAAATCAAAAGCAAACCTTTATTAGAACTTGTAATTGCAGAGGATAAACCTGCTTCTCTTTTTTCTTCCTCAATATGTTTTATGGAGTTTTTCTCATTTAGTTTGGCCTCAATCTCAGTTTTCTTTTTCATGAGTTCGAATTTTCTTTTATCTGCATGTCGATATATGAGGCTTGATGAAGCAGGTTTTTCAATTCCTTGTAAAAATTTATCTGACATATAATCTTCTGTATCTGACATCCTTTTTTATTCCTTTATTTTCTTTTTGTGTTTTATTGTAAATATAAATTATAATGTAAATCTTATGAAATTATAAAATACTGATTAACCACCTGAAAAAGAAAAAAAAATATGCACACATAGCTATTTGAGCATACACAAACGCGTATCAAACTTATTATACTCGTTTCACATTTCAATTATAAAAAGTAAATACAAAATTTTATATAATCAAGAAACGAATTACTAGAATATTTTTTATATAATTTGTACATTAAAATTTCCATAAACATTATTTTGAGACTGTGAAGTTTACCGTATAACCTTATTTAGGTTATATTCACAGTATTTCCGTATACGGTGAGCCATTCAACAAACATTGATCTTCGTATGTTTTTATATAAGAATACTCGAAGCACATATGCTTAAAGGTATCCATTAACTCCATTTAAAATATTGATTTCTGAAAATCTCTATAGCAGTTGTCTTAAAAAAAGTTTAGTTGTTTATGGCGTTTTATGAACAAAAGTTTCCTACACATTCGTGACTCTCGTAAATCGTATGTAAATAGTATTAAATTCATATTAGTTACAATTCAATAAATGAACATAATATACATTTTATATATAAAAGAAATAATTTGATTGCTCTAGAGACTATAACACTTAATAAATTATTATTATGGAATTATAATAGTTTAAAAATCTACTTTTGTCACGTGTATAAAGTACTTAGCTTCTAAAAGAAAACTATTAATATTTCTAAATATAAATTGTTGTTTTTCTTAAATAATGGTTCGTCGAGTATTAGATACACCTGTATTAGAAACGTAACAAATATCGTTTGTTAGTTCTTCATTTTGTATTCTTAATTAATCGAGATAATTTTAAGACAGCCTTTTTTTATAACGATATTATTATCTTTCTCTATAAATTATGCGAGTTCATTGATGCATACGCGATGCCCATTAACATTTACACGAAGCTGTTTTCTTTATGCTACGTAGTTTTTATTTTGCAAGAATATAAATATATATTTCTGAATACCATGAAAAAAACATCGAATCGGGATATTGTTTATTTTATTTCTTCCGTCTCGTGCTATGACAGTGATTAATACTTCGATGGTTACGGTATTAACTTTTCAAAATAAACTTAATAAATTCGATTTGCTAAGTGCAAACAAACGTTACCATTTTTTTTTTTTTTTTTTTTTTTAATAATTAACGTAACTACAGGTACATAGTTAGGAGAAGATTTCACGATCTCAATTTTATATCACTGATTTGAAATATATACACCAATATTGTTTTCAGCTCTGTCTGTCTATTTGTTTTTTTTTCTTCTTTTTTTTTATTGCAAGTTAAATGTCTCTCTCCCTTGTGAATGATTGTTGCGATGTAGCACGCCCAAGTATCTGCTTTAAATTTGCTACACCGTGTAGTCGTATAGATGACTATACTGCCGTCGGTCGATAAACAGCGAAACGCGGAATTGAATAGTACTGTGTGTTTGAAGGAACGTGGACCGCTTGTATCTCGATACAGTAATGCAGTAGTTCTCGAGAACAATATTTTTGGTCTTGATCTAGTTGATCACAACATTACTCAATTCATCATGTCCGAGAAACGTTGATTACGTATTGTGTGTTTCACACTTCTCCGATGAACTTTCCTGAATGCATCGTCGAAGACACCGAAGTGCAAGGGAACTAGTGCGAAGGACGAAAGTGTGAAAGCGTACGCTCACCGCTACTTACCCGAGGAAACATATAGTAGCTTTTAGCTCTCGATTCTCAACTCAGTCTAGATCGTATTGTTGTTAAGATCATATTTGTTCAACTATTAACCAACCAAAGAATATTCTGGACTCGACTAATTGACAAACATAGGCGTGCAACTGTAACACATGTACGAGGAACTTCACGATAAATAGAAAAAGGAACACCAAGCAAGATTGTTGGAATAGTAACGGAATTTTTTTCTTTTCCTTTTTTTTCCCTACCGCAGAACATGTGAATTTGTATGTTACTTGTTATTGTAACAGATTTCAAGTTTTCGAGGAAGGTCGAAGTACAATCCTCGTGTTCAAATTGTAGGATCGGGTGTGTACAGTAATTTTCGTGACAAACCGTGCACAGACAGCAAAGATATCCAATGACATTAAAACGTGTGACTTTCCGTTTCCACGAACTTCGTTATGTGTCGATAATTCGTGTTTCGTGCGTGTTTTAAATTTGTTGCTGGGGAAAAACTTGTCACTCCTTTGGATTTTACATCGGCTATGGTTGTAGCCAGTGGTGAATGGGTACAAAATGCCAGTTTTCCTGCCAATCAGAATTCCAACTTGAAAGTAAATTCGCTGCAAAACAACAAAATGACAGCCAAAGGAATTTTAATCTGTCGTGATAATTCTCATCCTTTTGAAGAACGTACATTTACTTTGGAGCAGCCTGTGAAGGTTGGTCGTTCTGTGGCAAGGGCCAGGGCCACGCCAAACAATGCCATTTTTGATTGTAAAGTACTATCCAGAAATCATGCGCTATTATGGTATTCGAGTGGGAAGTTTTTTTTACAGGACACACGTAGCAGTAATGGAACATTTGTTAACAATCAAAGACTCAGTGCAGCTGGTTTAGAATCAGCACCAAAAGAAGTCTGTTCTGGTGACATAGTGCAATTTGGAGTAGATGTGATAGAAAGTACAAAGAAAGTTAGGCACGGGTGTATAGTTGCAACATTGAAATTATACTTGCCAGATGGAAAGGAGGCTAAAGCTAGTCTTAGTACGTCAGTCGCATCTCCACTCAATAACGTTTCATTGGACGATGTGTACAAGTTGAATCAAGTTATGCAAGAGGCCTCGAGACGCGAGAAAGCACTTTATTCTAAGTTAGTGTATCTTCAACAACTTGTAGCAAATACTCGAAAGGCTGCCAATCAATCATGGAAAGCCCTGATTACAGAGGATCGTTTATTGTCCTGGGTGGAGAGTATGGAAAATCAGTTAGCTGTTTATTCTAAAAATTATACAGAAGACAAAATCAGAAATGAGCTGGTATCACTTCAGGAAGAGAAAATACATTACCAAAATGCAGCAAAGGAGGCATTGCAGAAAGTATTGCAAGAGAAATTAGAGGTGACTCAAAGATTAGTTCAATTAGAGGGACGTTTAAATGAAACAGAAGAGGAATGTCAAAGTCTTCACAATGTGGCGAAATATACTCAAACAGAATTTCAGGAGTTATGTAACAAATATACAGAAGCGCAAAAGAAGTTACAAGAAACTACAAATAAGCTAAAAGAGAGTGAGGAAAAAATACAAGACATAGTACAAAGCACAGAACAAGAGAAACAAGAATTTTTAAAGAGACTGGAAGATCAGTCTAGAACTGAAAAAATTCTACAGACAAGATTACGTGATTCTCGATTAGATTCTGTTAATATTTATAAACAGATCACTGCCCTCAGAAATTACATGCAAATTTTGCAGGACATGAATACAAAATTAGTAACAACTGGCATTATAGATTCAAAAGATGAAGAAAATCCCATTGAGGCCATCAACATTATCCTTAATAAATTAAATTCTATTCATGTTGACTATATAGACATTGATGTAGACACAAACTTTTATTTTTTGAAAGATGAACAAGATAATCAAATCAATTCGCAAGATATTGACTCAAATCAATTAAAAAATTCTGATGATTCTTTTTCAAAAGAACAATTAGATGATTCATTGGTTAATAATGATAATTCAACAGAATATATTTTACCACCACCTCGGAAAACTTTGGTTAATGGAAATGTAAATATAGATAATACAGACATGAACTCAGAATCTGATGCCAATTCAGATGCAACAGATGATACATGCAGTATTACTAGTGATGATGCAAGTGAAAAATCTGTTATAGAAGTTAAAAAAGAAGAATCTGTGTATAAATTAGCAGAAGAAATTTTTGTACCTTATAAAATGGAAGTTAGATTTATGTGTGAAGAAAATGACAAACAACTAGAAACCTCTTATTCACCTCAAACTGTACAGAAATTAAAGGAAAGTGAAGAAGCAGAAGTTACTATTGAGAGCACGATTAATGTCAAGATCACTTCAAATGAATCTGTTCCTACGGAAATTGATCAATTTGAAAAGAAAGATGAAACAGATAAAGATAACTGTGAATTAGATAAAGAGTGTGAAGAAGAACATTTAGAAGGAGATTATGTTAAAACTCTAAAACCATTATCCAAGAATGATAACATGCAGCAAAGTATACACACAAGAGAATATTTACTACAAATTTTAATAGGATCCTTAGATTCGTTAAAACTTGAGGACAATTTAGAATCACAGCAAATCGTCAGTAAGGAGTTAGAAAGTCTGAAGGATTGGTTAGTTTGTGAACCTAATGAGGAAATTGTTGAAAAACTAAAGCAACTATATTATCGTGCCAAGAACGAAACTCAAAGAATTCAAGAGCTCCATGAAGAATTAGTTATTTTAAAAGAAAAGTACAATGCGTTCGTCGAAGAAAAAGCAGAGCTCTCGAAAAAATATAAATCTGTTAAAGCACAATGTGGTGACTTGTTAAATACAACGTACACTGTACCAATACATTATGTGGCACCCATTGCAATTATGTTAATATGGATGTTGCTTGAAAAAATATTTTAATGTTTTCGTTTCTTGTATATAACTTTAACGTTGATTAATATTAAAATGTCCTTCCTCTTCGTCGATTTTTTTGTATCGTTTGCTAAGATCTTTCGAGAAGACAGAATATAACAAACTGGGTGGCGTGTAACTTCAACAAAAAAAAAAAAAGAAATTGAACATTTTTATACCAACAAAAATATTAAGAATTGTATATATTTTTTCGATATTGTTGTCGAAGCACCAATCTCAAAAAAAAAAGCTGTTCTGATAAATGACAAGTGTAATGCAAACGTATATATCATGTTACCATTTAAAAACAAGGAACCAAAATCAAATTAAGCAGAGTTGTAGCAATAAATGTGTACATACATAGAACAAAATTCTAGGATAGGGAAAAGAAATGTATTAGAAAAAATATAGACAATACCATGTAAAATGTTCAACATGCTGCCAATATGCTCGATATCATATCTTCTTGAATAAAATGGTATTAATCTCTATTTACAGATATTGCACTCGTTTATGTCATTATTTTTTGCGATCAATACAAGCACTGCACCCTATGATTCAAATGTATCATTACATAAATTATAAATAACGTTTATATGCAAAGAGCGATTTTTATAAATACCCGTATCGATATAATATCCTACGTCTTGATAAAAAAACTTCCCTTGATATTTCTCGTAGAATTAGTAATTTTAAATCTGTGCTAATTGAAATATTTTATATTTATTTGAATGATCTGATAATTGCTTGTGTTCAAAATGTAAAATCATTAATTAATTCGATTCCTTTGACATTTTATAATGTTAAGGATTTCTATGAGAAATATAATAATAATGATAATGATGATGATGATGATGATGATGATGATGATAATAATAATGATGATGATAATGATAATAATAAGAATGATAATGATAAGCTGAAACAAGTCGAATTATCGTGTCCTTTGATCAATAATCGCGTTACGTATGCTTTCATTATAAATTCATCGATTTAATGAAATTATTTAATATTAAGCAGTAATCGATTTTAAATTGCAGCTGTTTTTTTTTCTTTTTTTTTATATGAAACTATCTTCTGTATGTAGATAAAGAATAATTTGTTGATACATAACGTTTAAGGTCTTCAGTAACTCAAAGCTTCGATTAATATTTTTTCCGCAGTTCCATTTCCTTACATGTGCTTTTCTTTTTTTTATTTTTTATTATTTTCTCTCTTTTTTTTTTATATTGTTTTGTCGTTTATTTTTTGTTAGTAGAATGATAATAGGAGCATATCGATTCGAACGACCTAATAAATTTTAAGATGAGAATGATTCTTCAGTGCGAAATTTTTCCTATAATTCTTATTATTAAATCAGTGTGTTTAGCCAATTTTTCAGATACGATGGCCTAGATGTCTGTTTCTAACAAAGAAAAATAACCAAAAGAAAAAGAAAAGAAGAAGAACAATGTTGTAGTTATACTTTTCTATTTATTCTTTTTATACGAACGCGACTAAAATTAACTGATATTTTCTTAATTCACTGATAGTTTAGTTACAGTGCCATTGCCTGATCTATTTCTGCCCTGTTAAACCTGATAAATACCGATCAATATAAGCGAACAATACGAAGTATATTCAATTTCCCAAAAAAGGACATTGGCCTGGCTGCTTTATGGGATGTTACTTTCTTGGTAGATTGAAACTATATTTAAGATCGCGAAGGTTTATATAAATAATGAAGTAATATTGTACATAACATTGTTGACCTCTTACCATTTATGTAATAGTCATTATATAAAAAAAATAAAAATTAACTTAACTGAAGTCCTTTGCTATTTTTCACCAGCAACCTAGTGTCAATGGCGAATATGGAGGTTTATTAAATAATTATGCGATTTCTGAGAGGGTCAGATATCAGAAAATTAACAACAAAAGTTCTAAATACATATTTCATGTATTTTACTTTTAGTCTATTATTATAGTCCATTGTACTAATACCCACGGTAATTAACATCGTAACTTAATATTATAATTAATTGTAGCTTGTACGAAAGCATAATTATAGTTTGAACTTCGAACACGTGTTAGATCGTAGCGTAATTTAAATATCAAAATTGCGATAAAGTTCAGTAATTGCTTCTGCAGTATAACATCACTGAGTTTTCGGCATAACTATAACCGAACTAAAAATATCGTCGCCACGAGAGAGTTACGTAATCGCAATAAATATTTTAATCGTGTAATTTTTCGGTAGTATATAATTAAACAATTGAGCAAGATAACTGTCATTTCTCACGACATTTTTCCGACATATATATATATATATGTCGGTTAAATCATTTTCAAGCTGTAAAAGTAGCGTTATTTATATGCGTTAAATATGTCGCAGAATTTTCTATGATGAGAGAATATCTGTTTGATATTTTCAGAAATTTTCCATTATGATATTTTTATGCCGTTTGACGTAAATGCGAAAAAATGCAAACTGAGAGCACGTTTCAAAATAAAGCGAATACGAATTGCAGACGTGTCTGTTAGAAAATATCTGAAATGATTCAAATCGCGTATGCTTCAATTGCGTTTCTAAGCAAAATTTTTCTGACAAGTAATTCTGAAAGCGAAAATTCGATGTTTTCAGGAACTATTTCATTTTAACTATTTTCATCAATTTATTTTATGATTTTATATTGATTGATGTTGAATACGATATTAAGCCAATGTTCTATACTTTGATCATTTGACAAAAAAAGTCAACAATATACTTTATTATGTCGATACTTTAACTCCTCTGAATTTTATTATTTAGAACTTTATAAATTCTGCCTTTGTGGAAGTCTGACTGATTCATCTGTTACCACTTGTATTATAATAAATTGTTTTGTAATTGCAGCACACACGTATAACGTGTAAGCAATAACGATCGATTAGGAATTCGTTACGAGGTATGACCGCAATGTATTATCGATGAAGAAGCTGAAAAAGAAGTCGGATAACGCGAGAGGCGGGCAAGCGAGCAAGACAGTAGGCGCGGCGAATGCAAGCGGAGATGCATCACCCACTCGCGTGTGCAGAGATTTTCTACGAAACGTGTGTCATAGAGGCAAACGCTGCAAGTATTTGCATGAACGTTCCGAGGATGACCCTGTAGAAGAGTACACGTTTTGCCATGACTTTCAAAATGGAATGTGCAATTGGCCTGGTTGCAAATTCCTTCACTGCACAGAAAGCGAGGAGAAAAGATTCCGAGCAACGGGGGAATTACCTGCCCACATCTTGAACAGGCTCAAAAACAACAATGAAAAATCGGAATATCCAATGTGTAAAGATTTCATCAAGGGTAGCTGCCAAAGGACAAATTGTAAATTCAGACATTGGAAGAGCGAAGAACCGCAGCATAACTTAATTGCAACATCCCATCACAATGTGTCTAGGCCGCAACATAATTTTAACGGTACTAGCAATGGTGAGAATCGCAGATACGAGGAGGATAGAAAGTAAGTCTGTTAAACATTTTTTTTTTTTTTTATCTAAATGATTCAAGTTTCTTTAAGATATGTTTGTTCAACAACATATTTGTATATCTTTGTAGTTTTCATTGGCAAATGGAAGATCAACACAACTTAGTCACAAATAATGGTTACAATGCATCTTCACATCCACCTGATTATATAGGACCTCCTGAACCAAAGAGGCGAATAGTTTCTGGTGAAACTGTTGTTCATTTTGAAGCTTCGCCACTCGTGGGTCAGCATACTGCGCAACCGGTCACTCCAGGATATTATTATCCAGTAATACCACGTAATGAAGCTAGAGCAATTGTTTTAGAAGATGAAAATGCATTATTGAGAAAGAAGATAGAGGAATTAAAAAAGCAAGTCAGTTTAATTTAGTTTTACTATCATAATTGTACCTTTTTTACGTTGTACGGGTATATCTGACATATCTACGCGTTTTACTTCATTAGGTTAGCGATCTAACAGCAACTAATGAGTTTCTCTTGGATCAAAATGCTCAGTTGAGAATGTCAGGGAAACGAACTGCAAATGTAACGGCTGTTACAGTTCCAGCAGTTACTATCACAAATACTGTTCCACCATCGCAAGCTCCGACACCTCAACAAATGGTTAATGCAGCGGTAGCTGCTGGCACTTTACGTACAGTTACTGCAAGTGTCGCGACCGTTCCTGTAAGTATAGCCACAGTTGCACCTGTTTCCATTGCAGCAGTTTCAATGGCACCAGTATCAATCCCGCCACCCATTGTTACGATGGCCCAGCAAACGATTACAATGAGCGGTTCAGGTCCGCAGGCAACTAATCAACAACCACCTAATACGCAGCAACCTGCTAGCTTACCTCTCTCGATATCTGGTGCTACTGCACCGTTGGTTTCGTATCCTATTATGACTCAAGAACTTAGGCCCGTATTGCAGTAAGTAAATTATAGACACGAAAGGAACATCAAATAATACCTCAAGCATGTAAGCAAGTTAAGAATGCTTTCTTTTGCATTCAGTCTTTCAAGATAATATTGTATTTCTTGAAGTATAAGTGATGAATGCGGAAAAAAGAATTAGAGGAGATGTTCACAGATGATACAAAAATGTTCTTTAAAAGAAATATAATGTTGAAAATATCATTAAATATAATTAAAGAACGCGACATCCTAGATATTTATATAGGAGCTCATAGAAATTATCGTACAGGACAAACGTAACGATCATAACTGTTTTTTAGCAGTATGGCTTATTGTAATTCATTAAGTTAAGAGTTTTCGTTTCTTTCAATAATTCGTTCTGCAAAAAAAGGTGAATATTGATCACATTAATATGTTAATGTATACAACATAATAAATGTCCAAAGCGTGTATAGATTTAGATTAATAAGAATACTAATCTAAAACTATTGAATGATCAAGAATGATATTCTATTCTTTTTTTATTAATGTAATATCACGAAGATACAAATAATTTTGTAAGTAATTTTTTGTATTATTAAAAAGATAATCAGATACGATTAAAAAAAAATTGTAAATTAAAAAAAATATATGTAAGAAATGACTCATTTAGACTAATGTGTTAAGATAAGTACAAAACTAGGATCAAACATGTAAATGAATTGTATCGAAAGTTCAACGTTGAGGTTTACCACTGCTCTAAAAATGATGGTGAATCTTACGACTGTTCTGTACGCACTGCTGTAAATAGTATTTTGTTGCTTCCTCATTTTCTCGGAAAAAATTTTTATACTTCCATATTTTTAAAATATAAGTTAGCTATTCTTATAAACTAGTGATATTTTAATTAAGTACTTATTGTGGTCTTTTGTGTTTTTACAATTTTACTTAAGTAAGTGGCTTTAGGTTTAAGTGATGGAAAGTAAAGACCATGAATTTAATCCTGATCCATAAATGTAAGAATCAGGTACACAGATAATGTAATGTGCATCCCATAAACCAAATAAACGTGTATATGTTTTCAAGTCATGTTATCAGTCATGGGTTGATACATGTGTATATATTTTACGTAATTAGTATAAGAAATTGAGCAATAAGTACTCGTGTATTTTATATATGCATACAAATGTATAATCTTTTATGTATAACTTTATGTTAATAAGCACTTCATTAAAAAGATATATCTCTTTAAATTCTTTAGAAGTAGTACTCGTATTATATTTATTTGCATAATTGAAAATTTTATATGTTTAAATTATTAATATGGTAAAATTTTATTTTTTTCTTAATATTTTATTTTATTCTAAAAAAAATTATGAAAAAATATTTCATATAGTCTTTTATTTAATTACCATTCTAAATTTTTTTTTATTAACGAAGAACTTGATCTTCCGACTCTTAGTAATACTTTTGATTTTTGAAATTGTAAATATATAAATTGTTTAAATAATTGTTAATCATATTGTTTTGATATTCAAAGTTTTTTTTAATATAAATGCAGTTAGTTAATTAACACTTATAAAATAAAATAAAAGATTTTACATACTGCACATTAATTATTCTTATATTTTTTAAATTATTATTTTTTATAATTTATACGTTTTATGCATCAATAACCATAAAATTAAAATTTTTATAATAAAATTAAAATTTTATTATAAAATATTTATGATTTGCAAACTTTGTATCTTAATATTTTCAAGATTGCAAAACTATATCTATATATATATGTATAAGATCTCTTTATTTCTTCCTATAAATTCTAATAAATATGAAGTTCGTGAAATTCTTTGCCGAGATGGATACAAACAAATACAAATTAATCATGCCTCTATAATAATATTTCCTCTTGTAGTGAGATATTTTATAAATGTAGAAATTTGCCATATAAAAAGTAAAAGGTAATATAAAGAAAAACATTTAAGCTATTTCTGAACTATTGTTGTAAGTAAATTTTTGTATAATATATATGGAGACGCACAGACATGTTTTTCTTTGATGAAATTTTATGATAAATATGGTTCCAATTATGTTTCAATTATTTGACTATTCATTTATACAAGATACAGTAGAAATAATGACTAATAATACGGAAAGTGTTACGAAGTTCGTAAATTAGAATTTAAAGTCCTGAATATCAGTTGTGATTTTTCATTCTATTATATCTATATATCTGATGTTTTCGCGAGTAATAAAACAAATTATATAGATTAAAATAATTAATCACTTAAATTTATATTTAAGATCTTAAGACATATTTTCTTACATAATACATTTTAATTCGCGTCCTTTATAAATTTATGATTTATATATAAAATCACATTTCATCAAGAATATTTCGTTTTCATTATTTAAAACATAAATACGATTATGTACTGAATATGAAATCTCTTTTTGTACAATACTTGCATTAAATTTATTAATTTAAATTAATTTATCAGTATTTCTCTATTTTTAGATACATGAAACAGACAGTAATTGTATCTTGTATCGTATATGTATATATATATTCTATTGAAGAAAATACAATATATATTTGGCATTGTTTACAAAATCAAATAATGTAAGAAAATTTTAGTAAATAATACCATTACATTATACCATTACAATAATACCATTTTATATTCACAAAATATGTTTAAAGTATGTAATGGTTATACGTTTTGTTAGACTTGTCTATTTATACATACAGACTAATTTCTAAATTTGATAAATGCAGTACTATCACACCACCACAATTTGATATTTGTGTTTACAAAAATTTACAAATGAATAATTTTTATGTTATTGTTGGTAAGGGCCGTAAAGATCTACTTCGTAGCCAATATGCACCTGCTAGTAAAACAGTACAACAAAATCCAACCAAGAAACGTAATTTCCAATGATATTTCGAAGCCTTTAAAACATTAATGATTCTAATAGTCTGTTCTCTGGTATCACGTTGGCTACCAGAATTTTCAATAACAAAATTTGCCATCTCTGCTTTCCTTTCCAATGACATTTGTGCAGCAATTCTTATCTTTGCTTTAGCTTCTGTGAAGCCTGATCTTTCTATAAGTCGTTGCAATTGCAAATCTTCTTCGCTATAGTAGAATATACATTAGTTTTTTTCTTATTTAATTATTTAATAATTTTAAGCTATTTCTTAACTATATTCTTATAATTCTAAGTAAAGGAATTGTTCTTACCAAGTTACAACAATTATTTTATGCAAATAATTTATCATACGTCTTGTTTCAAAAAGCAGTGGCAAGTCCATAACTATAAACTGATGTCCTTGTAAAAAATACTTGAGTGTTTGCCAATATATTTCTCTACATATTTCTGGGTGTGTTATAGCATTTAATTTTTTTCTTTTTTCTACATCATTAAATACGACATCGCCAAGTTTCGTTCTATCAAGTTCATTAGTATCTAAAAACATTTCTGGACCAAATTCTTGTCTTATTTTATGCCATGCTGGTTTCCCAGGTTCCACAACTGTATAATATGCAATATGTAAATTTTCAAACAAATAAAAACGAATTACATTTTCTTTTTATATCTGCACACACAAAGCGTTATAAACAATGTGTATAAGTGAAAAAAAAAAAATTATTATCAATGTTAAAAAAACATTTATTAATTAAAAATATTAAATATTAGAAAAAAATTAAATAATAAAAATAGCAGTCATTTTATAACAAATTATATGATAATTATCGTTCAGTAAAAAGTATCGTTTCATTTCTAACCTTTTCGTGCAATTTGATCGGCATCAATGACAGGTATACCGAATTCAAGAAAAATAGCAGCAACACTACTTTTCCCAGTAGCTATTCCACCTGTCAAACCTACTAAAAACATTTTTTAATCAAATATTTATTTTTATTCTCTAACACTTGTCCTAACAGCTAAATGAATATTGTTACTATTAGCATTGCAAAATTTAGTCCTATTTAACATTAGTCATGTTATGACAGTTTTCACTGAAATCAAAATTATCCTTTTATCCATTTTTGATATGACATTATTGAAATTAAACACGTCAACCAATTAACAATAAGTAAAATAAATTAAAAATTTAATTGGTTATAGATTAATGATTTAAAAAGGATTAATAAAACTCTACAAGTTGAATTTGAATCGTCCCTTTTTTTTTGCTACTTGCATCGATCTTTTGTACGTTTAGACAATTATTTATTATTTTATAAATTCCATATTTGCATATGCAAAATGTTTGAAAATTTGTGAAACTTAACAACGATTTATTTGATAAATTATTAAAAATTTCAAATTTGTGGCTAATATTGATATATTATCATAATATAATATTATAATATTATTCTTTAATAATATATATCATAATATTATTATAATATATATCATAATATTATTCTTTAATAAGTTCTTTAATTCTATTTGGTTTTTATTTTATTATTCATACAAAATATAAATAAATGTATTTTTTATATTTAAAATTAAGACATATTTTAAGTACTAATATTGTACAATATATTATTCATAATCACATGTAATTCTTTGACATTTTTTTACTTCAAAACGTTACGTTACTTCTAAAACTCATGTATATTATGAATGATATAATTTTTAAAATAAAAAATATAAGACATAAATATAAGTTTTATGATGTACTAGACGGATATTAATAACATCTAACTTATTTTGATGATATATTTATGTTATTTAATTGGGTATTTTTAACAATTTCGAATATATAATATAAATGATATTCATAAAATATAATCTCAGTATAAAATAATATAAAAAGATAATAAATAACATGTACAATTTTCTGTAGCATTATTAATTTTAATGAATTTTTTTAATTGAATTTCAAGATGAATCTTTAATTTGTATATCTTTGGTACACATAATTATTGTCATAACCATTGGCTAAATGCAGGATAGATGCAATGTCACTTTCTGTGTCCTACGTTTTGAACTTCATCTGCCTATGTTTCGACATAGACGAGGTATATGAATTCATATACCTCGTCTGTGCTATTAGTCTTTTTATCTGACGTGTGACATATATTTATATGCCAAATATAGTGAAAAAAGATATTGTATTATCAGGTCTATCTATACTGTTTTTAGTCAATGCCATAACACCGCTGCGCCATCTTCAATTTTGAAAGGTGCGCGTTTCACACTGTTTCAAGGCAGTAAAAGGGATTTGATTTCACTGTTTTGTTTCATTTACTTTGATTTTGAAACGTTGACTCTTTATGAATGTATAATGTCGTCCAGTATCGGTAGTGTCATACCTTTTTTCATTATGGAAATATGAAATTTCTTTGTTGCTTGAACGAGAGAAAAAAGAACAGTTTTTATGGATTAATAAGATCGAGATTATAGAAAGAAATTCGAAATGTTTCGTCGATTTAACAAATCCATTCGAACGTATGAAAGAAAGAAATTAAAAGAGGTGAAAATTTTAATACCAAAAGTAATTGTACCATCTATTAATGAAATTAAGACCAGAAGCCCTATTTCATCAAATAAAAATTTAGACGAGACTGAAAAAGAAGTTGATGATTCTTTGTATAATGATCCCTTCGAGACTACATTTGATAGACTTCTTAAAAATGCAAGGTAAGCAATTTTATTATTGATGTAAGTACAGTGATTACAGTAATTAATGAAATTATTTTATCAATAGAATACCAGCACCTGTACCAAAGACACACAGTGATACAATATCACTTAGTTCAGATGGTGAATCTGAAACAAGTGATCACAAATCTTTATTATATGAAATATCCAGTTTTAGCAAGAAACCAAAATTTAATAAAAATACATCACACAGAAAGATAAACACGCATGTTATAAAGAAAAGACTAATTAAAAAAAAAGCATTGAAAAATAATGAAGAATTTAAAGTAAGTTTAACATTATAAATTATTATAAAATTCCCATTAAAATTATAATATAATCTATATATATATTATTGAACAGGTAGAAAAAAATGTGTCTCATAAAAAATATAACTTGCGTAAAACAAGAAATAACAATAAACTACCACTTACATACTTAGGTATTGAAAAGATTAAAAAAAATTATAATAAAAAGCATATACATTCTGCAGAAAGGAGCAAAAAAATTAGTAATGTACAAAGTGCAAAATTTTCTAACAACGTGGAAATAAAACCATGTTTTGTTCATTTAGATAAATCTATTACATCAGAATGGTATAATAACTTGCATTCTGTAGATAATAATGTCCTAAAAGAAACTGATCAATTGTTAGATCAATGTACAGTTACTGAGATCAATATTGATAATTTAAAATATAATAGAGCAGAAGTCAATAAATACATAGCATCACTTGATTTAAAAAATAAAAATGAAAATATATTTAGTAGTACACCTAATGGCAAACTTCTTAGATCATCTACTTGTATAATTTCCTTATCACCAATTCCAATTGAATATTTTGAAAAATTAAGAGATCCTATAATGTTTAGTAATACCTCAACTAATGAAAATAACGAAATTTTATTAGACTCTGAAGTAATAAATGATGATTTTTACAAAAGATCAAATACGACAGAAAAAGCTAAAGAAAAGCTTGAGTCATCTAATTATTTAATAAATACTTCTAATCAGTTAGAAAATGTAGATAATAAAGATACTGATTCATTAATTGAACTTAATTATAATAATAATGAAATTTATGATAAAAAAGAATTGTTAGCGAGAAGAAATGTAGTGCCTATTATTCTAACAAGTGGAATCGAACAAAATGATACGTCACATAAGTCAGTATTAATAAAAGAACATAAAATTTCAAATATGGAAAAACATTCCCTGAGATTTTCTAACAATGCAAGTTCATGTTCTTTATTTAGTGATAATGAAAGTATTCCGACTCCATTGTGCAATAATACTAAAGTAGATGATGTAGTAAAAATATCTAGTAGTAATTTAATAGTAAGTGAAAAAAGTACAATATTAAAAAATGAAAGACATTCTGACTTTGTCGAATTAAATAAAAAATCTTCAAATGTAAACACTGATAAAAAAGTAATATGCAACAAAACCCAAGAATTGTCTGCAATTTCAGTCTCAATTAATTTGATGAAGTCAGCTTCAGTATCTGATAATATAAATAATAAAAATAATGACAAAACAGGTGATATAAATAATGATTACAAAAATAGTGCATTAAATACAAAATACTCTTTTATAAATACTAGTAAAAAATATAGTGACTGTCATGTATCTTTGGAAAAATTGCAAGATCCTATTAGAGTTTCAAAAAGAAAAAAATATACTAAATGGGATCTTGATTTAATGACTATTGCAGAAGATTGTAATAATATTAAGAAGAAAAAAGAGAGACATTCGGAGAAGATAAAAAATGATAGACAAACAATATTACAACAAAAGAAATTATCAGTTTTAGAAAATATAATAGAGCAATCTACTAATAATGCAATAGAAAAACCTGTTTATTTAAAACCAGGAAAATCGTGGCTAAGATCTTTATCAATTTTGAATAATGTACAAACTGAATCTAACTTGGATAAATTATCTATTGGCAAAGGTAAAAAATGGAGACATAGTGTTCAGGATGTCCTAAATATGCAGAAACAAGGTAATTATGTAATAATTAAAAAATTTTCTATTTTTTAACAAAAATTTTTATAATTATATTTTATAATTTTATATTATATCGAATTTATTGCAAATCTTAATGGAAATTTAATATAATTCATATATGGACATGCAAACATTTGAATGTTGTGTTTTTATTTGACAGAACAAAATATTATTTTAAAATTCATTAACCTGAAATATTTTATGCTTTTTTATGCTATAATATATATGGTTTATTTCATATTTTTTTATATTCTTTATTTTTAAAAAGATATTTTCAAATAAATTTTCATTCTGAATATGTGCATTTTTATTTAAAAAAATGGACAAAATATATATTACTTTGTAAATATGTTGTAAATGGGTAGGCTTTGAAAGTATAATATAAATAAGAATTGTTTAAATATATATTAAATAAATAACATTAATTAAATTCTTCTCATGTACAGGAATTATACAAAGTTGTATAAAAAAGAATGATAATGATAAAAAATTACAAATAACTAATGAAGTAATTAATAAATCAGAATATGAATTGATTAATAATAGCAAAGATAGAACTTGTGATTCTACTATTTTTGGACATCTTTCAAGAAGGGTATCAGTTCGTGTTGTTCCACTCTATAAAACAGTAAAATCTATTGAAGATACATCATTTCTTAAAGTCTATGGGATTGTTCCTATTAAAGATCAAAGATGTACATTATTAAATAGTAAGTAATTCTAAGTATTTAATTTTTAATAAAATTTTTATTATTATATATATTTGTATATAGATCCGAAAAAATCTTCTGTATGTAACATTCAAAATGATGATGGCCAAATTATTGAAGAGCATGTAATTTCAACAGCCAGAGAAGTTATTTTACAGAAATGTTTACAAAAAGATTATATAGCATTTTCAACATATTTTTCTGATTCGTAAGTATATATTATAAATAAAAGTAATAAAGAATAATAATATCATAATTTATTCAGATACTTGGAACACTGTCGAAAAATTGGAGAAGGTGTATATGGTGAAGTCTTTCTTTATGAACACGAAGATGAGAAGTCTGTTATAAAAATTATTCCTATAGAAGGTAGTGATTATGTCAATGGAGAACCACAAAAGAAATTTCATGAAATATTATCAGAAATTGTAATTGCAATGTAATTATAATTAGAATTTATTATTTATAATAAATTAACATTTTATTAGAAATTAATTTTTTAATAAAAATAATTTTAGGGAATTATACAATTTAAGATTCAACACAAGGTACAATACTGATGGATTTGTGGAAGTGAAAAATATTAAATGTATAAAAGGAAAATACCCAGAGAGACTTATTGAATTGTGGAATATTTATGACGAAGAGAAACATTCTGATAATGATTGTCCATCAATGTTTAATGATGAACAATTATATATTGTTCTCGAACTTGGACATGGAGGTCAAGATCTAGAAGCATTTGTATTTAATACTGCAGAGGAAGCTTATATTTTGTTCATACAGGTTATTATTTTTTCAATTATTGATATCTTCTTTAATAAGAAGTTGAAGTATATTAATATTTCAAGTTTCATTATTATATATCAATTATTTGATTTTAAATACATTTTAAATACTTTTAAATACATATAATCAATTTCGTTTCAGTATATAATAATTGAATTGAAAAGTATAATTAATATTTAATATTTTTTAATAGGCTGCATTAGCGTTAGCGGTTGCAGAGAAAGCTATTGAATTTGAACACAGAGACTTGCATTGGGGAAATATGTTAATATCTCCGACAAATGAGAATTGTATACATTACAAAATTGGAGAAAAAAACATTGAATTAATAAGTAAAGGTGTAAAGGTATATATAGAAGACTATATTCATTTTTTACTAGTTATAAAACTATTCTTTACAAATTATTTGAAACCTCTGGTATTCAGGTGTCTATTATAGATTTTACTTTTTCAAGAGTAAAATATCAAGGATGTAGTGTATTTAATGACCTTGCATTAGACCCTACACTATTTACAGCTCAGGGTGAATATCAATTTGAAATATATCGTTTAATGAGAGATAGAGTTAAGTAAGTATATTAATTTTTATTATATATTTATTATATATTCACTTCTGAAGTTTTGTATTTATTGTTTATGTATTATTTTAGAAACAATTGGCAAACATTCGAACCTTATACAAATATTTTATGGTTGCATTATACTTTAGATAAAATGATTACTGCAGTTAGGTACAAAAAGAGAAATTTAAAAATTCATAAAAATGGAATAACGAAACTTAAAGAACTAGAAAATGAAATTTTGACATACAACAGTGCCTTCGACTTTGTAACACATTGTGACAAAATTATTAATTTATTACGTATTAATTCGAAATTTGACTTAATTTCTGTGTAAATAAAAATATAGGAATTATAAAATAAAAAAAAAATATTAAAATATCTGTATTGCAGATTTGAAATAGTTTATGATAATAGTTCTAATAAATATAAAGGAAGTATCCCGAATTATTAATATAAACAAAATTACGATAAGAGATAAATATCAAAAAAATATGTGAATTTCATATTATTTTAAAAATATATTTTTATTATTTTTATATATTTGTTGCCTTCAAAAATAAGTTTGCCTCAAAAAACAAATGCTTTATTACAGTCTTTAACGTTCTTGAGGTATAATTTGATTTCGAATGAAAAATATTTGTATATGTATAAAATTTGTATAAAAATAATATTTGTATAATCTTTTATTATAAATAATGAAATTTTGTTTTTTGTTAAAATTTATTATAATTATTTTTCATTTCATATTAAATGTTTAACTTGTATCATTAATTATATAAGAGAGCAAATTACAGTATCAAAATGTTTATAACGTTATAATTCAGAATAAATATTTTACAAAAATATATTATAATCTTTATAAATTTTAGGCAAATAATTTTTTTTTTAAGAATATTAATGAAATTTATCTTGAAAAACTTCAATAATCTGTAGGAAGTGTCCTAGAATATTCATAAACATTGCTTAATTTATGATATGCACTACATTGATTAATGAAACTCCATCTTTGTCGATCAAACTGAAAACAAAAGCATTCATTAGAATAAAATAAAACTAAATAAACTAATAGAACTAAAATGAAAAAAATCCGGATTTATAAGAATAAATATACTATAGAATCTTCTTTCGTTTGTTTTTCTTTCTCACATTTGTTTTCTAATTCTGGAGACTTTTTTTCACTATTAAAGTACCTATATAATGTATAAGTTTTATGATGTAATTTTTAGTAATAATAATAATAAATAGTGTAGATTAATATATTTAACAATTTACCTAAAATTATGTTCCAAACTTGAATCATTCAAATCAATAAATTGACATTTATTTTGTAAGTGTGAATCTTTTTCTTTTAAAACTGATATTATATTTTTATGTATTGATTCTTCGAAGAAAAATATTTATATCAATATTATTTATCTACATTTATTATAAAAGTATATTTTATAATAAATTTTTAAATATTATTTCTATTACCTGTTTCATACAAATTTGTGAGTGAAATTCGGAATTTCTTTTCTGTTTTATTCAATTTTGTATAAAATTGCTCTTGTGCATTATTAGCATATAAACATTGATTTTCATTTTCCATATGAATTATGTTGGTGTTACTGTTTATAATTACAATTATTTGTCTATGTAGTTCTATTAATTCTTCCATATTTAATGACTAAAAGCATATGTAGTAAGCAATGTAATTATCATTAAATATTTCATTATTACATAAATGTATAATTACATACTAGTAACCAATTTTCTGGGTCAAACATTTTTTCACTCTTCATATCATCTTCAAATTGTTTTTGTAAAATTTCAACATTTGCTTTGTGCCTTTCAGAAACTGCATTTAAACTACTATCGTAATTTTTTTTCATTAATATTAATTTGTTTTGATATTCTTCCATCTGAGACTAAAAAAACATTACAATTAATAATTAAAAAAAATCATCATAATATAAAATAGTTAAATATAAGATATTAAAAAAAATAAAATAATTGCTATAATAATATTAAATAATAGCTACTTGAAGAATGGCACGAAGATCAGCGTTTTCTTGAATTAAATGTTTAATAATTTCTTTAGGATGTTTTATTTCAGTATTCATTACTTCATTTTGGTTTTCATTATGTTCATTTTTAAAAAATTTGATCTTGTGTCTTGTCATTAAATTATTATTATTATTTTGATTATTATTATTAATTATTAAATTATTTTGAGAAAAATTAATTTGTTTAAATTTTATATAATTATCTTCACACATTTCTTTTATATTAGCATTATTCAACAGTTGTATATCAACTTTTTCTATTTCATTTTCTTTTATTTCTCGTTTTTGATCTCCAGACTCTAGTTTTAAGTCTTCATTTGTATTATCTGCAGTTAATTTCATTACTTGATCTTGATGAGTCTAGAAATAAAACAAATATATTAATAATTAATAATAAATAGAATATATCTAAGAAGCTACTGACTATGCACTGATCTTGCAATTTTTTAATTAATTTATTATAGGATGGATCCTTTTCTAAATTTGTTTGCTTTTGAAGACTTAGTAACCTTTCATATATTTGATTGGAAAGAGTATATAATTTGCTTTTTAGATTTTCTTCCATTATTTCATTATGTAATTTATTTAATAATTCAGAGTTTTCATTTTTCCAATATTCCACATTTTTTTTCAAAATTTCATTTTCACGTAAATATATGTCTAAACTATTATCGAGTTTTTTGTTATTATTTTGATCATTTATAAATTGTGTTCTTAAATTATTGAGTTCAATTTTTAGCTTCTTTTCATTTTTATCTAATTTTGTAAGATCTTCTTGCATTGTGTATATAATATTAATTTTATCATTTTGTTCAGTTAAGGATACAATTGTTAGATTCATTTCTGTAAGTTTATGTTCAATATCTTTTACTTTTTCATTCAATAACTTATTTTCATTTTCCAATTTTATGATTTCATAATGTTTTTCTTCCATTGTATTTTTATATTCAGCAATTTTTTGTGACAAGACATTATTAGTTGCAGCAATTTTACTTTTTAAGATAGTTATATTTTCATCTTTTGTGGAAATAATTATATTGGATTGAGTAATGTTCTCCTTTAATTCATTATTCTCAAATTGTAAATCATTTAATCTACAAATACATGTAGTAATTAAAATATATAAAGTAAATAATAAAACAAACTTTTTCTTATAAGATAAAAAAAGATTTACTTCTTTTCCATTTCTTTAATCTTATTTTCTAAAATAGTTTTTAAATTCTTAATTTCATGGATTTCATGAACCTGTTGTGATAAATTTTTAATTTTTTGGGTTTTTGTTATTAACTGTTTTTTATTTTCTTGACATTCTTTTGACAATCTATTTTTTATATTTTCTAAATTTTTGTTTTCATTTGTTAATGTATTATAATTTTTATTATATATCAATAATTCACTTTTGAGTATTTCAAGTTGTTCTTCTAATTTCAATATAAAATCATTTTTATTATTAAGTTCCATAGTTGCTTTTGATAATTGTTCTTTGAGTTCAAAATTTTTTCTACTTAAGCAGTCACCTTCCCCTTTTTGTTGTTGTGCCACTTCTTTTAATTGAGTTATTTCTAAATCTTTTCTTTCCAATTTCTCTTTTTGTTCTTCTATTGTTTCTACTATTTGTAGATGTTGATCTCCAACACCTTGACATTATTTTTTGTATAAGAAAATAATATTATATACTTATAATTAGTATTTGTCTATAATCGCAGAAATAACTAATTTAGAAATAAACTTTGAAGTAAATTGTTAAAATAAATAAAATAAATAAATACACAATTTTACGCATAAAATATAAGAGAAATTATAATACAACAGAATTCAAATATTTAAAAATTACCTTGTAGAGCTGTACTTATTCTGTTAATACAAGATTTCAAATGTGTTTCAATTGCTTTATTAATTTTTTCATCATATAAATATTTTTTTTCAGTATCTAATATTTCATTTAGTAACTGATATAAAATATTTTCAATAAATTCATTTATCTTATTTTGTACTTCTAACAAATCATTAGGAAGTTGTTTAATGTAAGAATTACGCTTCTTATGTTCTTCTTTATGTTGATTATATAATTGAGAAATTAGTTTTTTCTTCAAAATTACATCTAGCAAAAAAATTAGTATATTGTACATTTATATAAAAGTGCAAATCAAAAGTTTAAATTACCTTGAGAAACATTAATAGCTGATTGTGTATCTTTTAAAATTTCATAAAAATAATAAGTTTGTTTAATCATTACAGGACGTTCAATTTCTACATATATTTGTAACTTTTGTGTAAGGGAACGTAACTTAATTAAAAAATGTGTAAAATATTCAATAATTTCTTTTTCTATATTGTCCATGTCATTTTTCTTATTTAATTTAATAGTGTAATTCTGACATTCCTATTAAATGGGATATGTTATTATCTTTTCATAATAGGAAATTAAATCAATGAGAAATATTACCTTTTGATGTTCACAAGAATCCAAGTTATTTGCTTCACTTAATAAATTTATATTACCAGCTACATTAGAAATATCATCAAATTCTATTTTATTTAAATTATTGATATCTTGCCTTACATTAAATACAACCGCATTGTTCCCAACTAAACATATAAAATATTTATCATGTTAATTTTATATATATAAATGTATATTATTATATTACATAAATTACACATAATATTGATTTCATCTATAATATAAAAAATTCTATATACGATTCTTATATGTATGTAATATACTATATGTTAATATATGTAAGTTTTAAATAACAGTCTTACTTGTGTTATTTAAATCCATTTCAGAGCTACAAGAAAACTTTTCACAAATCATATATTTTAAATTTTGATTAGAATAAATTCCCTGTTTATCATTTCCTATATGCTTTAAATCTCCAATTTGTTGTAAGAGATTCTGACTTTCTATTTTATAACTTTGAAATCTTGTTATAATGATGCTTATATTGTACAATATATTATTTGCTTCCTCACCAATATCCAAATTACATTTTGTACAATTACAAACTTCTTCACAAACACCATTAAACTCTTCCAAATTGTTTAAAATATATTTTAAATTATTGAAAAAATCACTAATTTCTCGTTTTATAGAAGTTAATTGCTCTTCATATTGAGAAATTTTAATATCTTTATCCTGAATTTCAGTTTTTAAAGTTTCTAACATATTCTTTGTTTCCATCTAATATAATTAATGTTATATTATTTATATAATAAAATTGAATAATTTGAATTAATAAATAAAATTAAAAATAATGTACTTGTTCATTATATGTAATATATAGTTCTTTAATCACTTTTAACAACTGATTTAATTTCTCTTTTTGATTTGTTAATATACAATTTTGTTCATAATTTTGTTTTTCAAGTTCATTTCTTTCTTCTAAGACATTTTTTAATTGTTCTACTGTTATATTATACTTTTCTGCCTTTTCTGCTAATTGTTCCATTTCTTCTATTTTTTTCTACAATATAATAAAAATTTACATTTTTTTCATTTGAAAATTAATTTTTTTATATTTGACATATGTAATTACTGACTAAAAGTGACTCTTTTTCTAATTGTAATGTTATTATTTCTTTAACACACAATTGAAGTTTTTTAATTTCCTCAGAATATAAATAACAGCTTTCACATTTCTCATTTAAATCTTGTTTGAGTTGTTCTACTAAATATTTATAACTATAGAGCTAAAAGAAGAAAAGAGGGTAGAATTTGTAAAGCATAATAATATGTTAAGTTACTTTTTTATATTACTTTTTTTTCCAAATCTTCTACTTTACAATTACGTTCATGATCTAATTTGTACAATTTTTCATGTAACATCTATATAATTATTATCAAATATTAATTGACTTTAATTTTTTTATATTAATCGACACTATTAGAAGTGTTTTGTAAAATTATATTTGATATACTTGCTTTGAGATTTTTTTGTTGAGTATACATACAATTTTCCTTTTCTTTCAATAAACTCTTTAAATATTTATTTATAGAATTTAATTCTTCTAAGTCTACATCTTTTATCTATATACAATTATATAAGTTACAATATATGTATATAAATATATTAATTAATAAATTAATATATCATACACAGAGTTCATTTTTCAAAACTATAATTTCAGAATCTTTTTGAATGATAATTCCTTTATAAATGCTGTTATGTAGATCAAAATCAGATTCTGTTCCCATCTCAGTGTCAGATTCTGTTAGATTTTCAGTATCTTGTGAACTATCACTACAAGATTCATCACACTCAAAGCTTTGTTCCTCTACATTATTTTTTTGGGAATTATTTTTGTCTAGATCTATTGCACTGTTATCCTCATCACTGGATTTTGATATGAATGATGTTTGTGACATTGCCTAAATAATATATTTACATAAATATATAGTTTAAGTAGCACGAGCATAATTATATACATACAGATATTGTTATAATTTTGTTTGGATATTTATCAACTTCATCATTAACTTGTATTTCTATATCGTGCATTTCTGTTTTAGCCTGTAAATAGATATTACATTTATTTAAGTAATATTAATTATATAGTATTAAGGTTGATTAATATAATGATACTACTTGTACAGCTACATCAATATACTCTATCCAGGACGATATCTTTTCACTGTAATCTACAAAATTGATATACAAATTAAAATTTAAAAAATTAGGAATTTTAAATATTTTTCTTTGTATCATGTTACCTGCAGCAAGATGTGATTTTATAATAGATTTACATGATGGTATAAAATTGTAATTTTTTAAAAATGGTTCAAATGTAGTTAAAGAGTAAGAATATTGATTGTATTGTTTTGTTATAGCTGATACATTTCTTCCGCAAGGTACATGGATAGATAACGAATTTGACTGAATCATAGATCCTGAGTTACTGATATTGGAAAATACATCCTTTGAAATTTCTGTTGTACTGTTTTTCTGTAATAATTCTTTTACTTTTGAAATATTATCCTAAAAATTAATATAAAGTAATATAAAATTAAGTAATTTTTAAAATATTATATAATGAAATATTAGAATATAAATTGTTTAAAATATCTCTTACTAAATTTTGTAATTGTTCTTCTTGTTTAGGGGTAAGTTTAAGGCTTTTATATTTTTTGAGTTCTCTTTTAACTATCTGAAGTTCATTTTGATTTTCTGAGTTAAGTCGAATAATATTATCAATGATTACATTAAATGGTATTATTTTTCCTAACTGCAAAAAGAAAATACATATTGAGAAAGTTTCCCTTAACATAATAATTTAGTTTAATAAAATACATACTGATGAATCATGTTCATTAAGTTCACGAAAATAACGCGAATTCTCTAAAGAATTCGGACTCCAAGCTCTGATATCTGAACAAGAATCATGTAATTTTAATCGACCTTCCAAACGTTTCTTCGGTAAAACATAATCACCATATATCAAAGGTGTTCCTGAGTTACGTTTGTTAGTTAAAAAAATTCGAGGTCCATGTTCTACATAAGACATATTTTTTCTCTTTACTCAAAAAATTAGTTTATGTATTAATTATTATTACTGTTAACATAACTGATTGAATATAAAATTCTTTTTAAAAATACAATGTATAAAGTAAATTGTATTATTTATTTGGTTGTTTTTATTTATATACTATAGTAACTGTTAAAAAACAAAATGTAAAATGATATAAATGGTGATCAATAAAATGTATGTAGTTATATAATAAAATATTTTATTTTATAAGCTGTCATCAAAGAGATATATGCTACCAATAGGTAGTATTAATAGTATTATAATATTAATAGAATGAAATACAATTCATCACAATCCAATTTTTATATTCATAGATAAAACAACGGAGGCACAAATATATATATATAGAAAATATTTTACATGTATATAAATATGTTTATAATTTTAAAAGTTCTTATATTTAAAATTTGTAAAGTATATTTTAATATCTAGTGTTCAATTAGATAACAAATAACATTTATAAAACTAGAATTAAAATTCAAAAACTTTAACACTCTAAACATATAGTAAAATAAACAGAATACATACAAGTCTTGCATTTTTGTGAAAAACATTTGGAATGATCTAAGTATAAGGCCACTTAGTTTTTTTTTATTCTTTATATTCAAGTTAAAATGAAATACACATATTAGCATTTGGCCTTTTTAAATTACTCATATATACATTTTCTTTTACCATTGAATAAAGATCTCTACTTACAATGATAAATTATTACTGAACCTAATTGTCTGCATTATATACATATAAAAGTGATTAAATTTAATAAAAAAATTTATGTTTTATGAAGTGATGAATAAAATGTTAATTAAAGTAACAACAGATTTCATTATAAATTATCAAACTGAATGGTAATTTTAAAAAGACCATTTTATACATTAAATTTAAAATCTGTATTCACAGTTCATGGTATAAACTTAAGTAAAGTAAAAGTAAAAGTAAAACTTAAATACACTTTATGTTTCTTATATTAAGTACTATAAATATTATTTTAATACTTGAAAATATTGCTGTTTTCCAATAATGCTTGTATATGTACATAGTCAATATTCATATTACTACATATCTTCTTTATCTCTAGATTGATAAAAAAAAAATATATATATATACATTGTGTATAAGTACACTAAATACTAAAAAAAAAAATTTCTTGTTCTGCATTGAACAAATTTATTATTTTAATACTTTTTGTATGTATTATTTATATCTAACTACAAAAAATATTAAAACAAAAAATGTATATAGTTAAATAAGTACTAAATTTAAAAAATTTAATTTTGATCTATAAGAAGAATGTGTTCTTTGTTTATATTTTACTTTTATATTAATACTCTGTTTTATATATAAAGTTCAAACTTTGAAACATTTCAATTATTGAATTAAATTCCAGAATAACACTGATTTAAGATTTACTAACGATAATAAACAATTATTTTAATCATTATAAATATATCATATCAAAAGGCACAATCTTCTCCAAAAATCATTTCATGTGAATTTTATATTCATTTTTATATTTCATATTCTATTTCTATTTCTAACTAAATTATTATTAAGCTATGTAAACAATAGCTACCATGATTTCATAATGTTGCATTCTCTTTAATATGTTAATTTCTTATTGTCATGTATATATTTATACTTATTTCTATAAATACTTTTTTTTTGGATGGATAAATATCTAAACTAATATTCAATTGAGCATGGTGTAAGATAAATTTTATGTTATGTTACAACTGTAACCATCCAAATTTCTCTTGCTTATAAGAAGAGTAATGTGATAACTAAAAAAAACTTTCCATATTTTGTCTAAATATTTTCACATATGAATCGGATGCACCATTTGAAAATACACGAAATTTTCCTTTTCTTTTGTAAATTTTTTAGACATCGAAGTAGTTGATTTATATTTTCTATGCCTTCTCATGTCACTGAAAAAACAATTGTCTACACTTGGTTCAACATATAATAGTAAGTGTAAAATGTCCTAAAGATGTTCAATATCATTTTCTCTCTTCAACACTTCTACCACTCTAAGGACAATAGACAAAAAACTGTCTTAAAAGAGATGCGCTTTTGACGATCAAAAATTGATCAAAAATTTCGTCATAATTGCAAACACTCTTTAATTAAAACTTCTATAAGTTTAAATCTAACTTGTAAGTAAATAGTCCATAAGTTTCGAAATAAATTTAAATATCTTTAGTTTAAATCTATAAACAAGTTTTTTTTCAATTCATTTAACAATGGGTCTAAATTCAAAATAAATACCTTTGATTATTTGAATGGGACCGACTGTTTCAAAAATATGTAACAATTTACAAATGTAAGACACCCTGATCATGATTAAAGTGATTTTGATGATGGTGATGATAATGATGATGTTGGGAAGTTGTTGCATCATCTTGTAATGTGACACCAGTCAAGTCTGCAATCTCATCTGCATCTTCGTCACTACCAGTTGCAGCACTCTGTATTGATTGATGACTTCCTGATGACATTTGACTATTACGTGAAAATGATCCGCGTCTTGGAGCAGCTAATGCTGCTCGTTGATTTGCTGGTTTTACTGTGATTATGAGATTCGAAGAATTGGCAATCATCATATCTGTAACCTATTTAAAATACATACACGTAGATACACAGGTGAAAAATAAGAAAATGGCAAAATTATGCAAATAGAAGTTATGCAACAATTCTACATACCTGATCTAGAGTTTTTCCAGCAACTTCTATACCATTTACTTCAAGAACTTCGTCATTCACTGCTAAAAGACCTGTACTTTCAGCTAAACCACCTGGTACTAATCTACTAATAAATACACCTGGAACTTTCTCAATTCCACCTCCTGCAGATGATGGTAATAATCGGAAACTTTCTCCATCTTTAATATAAAATCCTAATGGTTTGTCAGAACCATGTTTTAATAAGCGTACACGGCGACAAGTCTCTGGCAATATATCTACATCAATTATTGCTGATACCTGTCAGTAAAAATTGTATTTAATACACATACATCTTGAATGATACATTAAATAACTTATATTTATATCACTAATACATACCTGCCTAAAATCATGTGGATTAGATATAGCCAATGATTTTGGTTTTCCAGGAGTGCCACCAAGAATACTTGATATCAAATTTTTTGGTTTCATTGTTCCATATCCATTTATTTCCTCTATTCCATCTCCTGTTGTAGAAAAATGCTTTATTCTCTCAATTTATATTCATTACATTTTATTTTGTAACAAATATCATCACACTTGAATCTTACACATTAATACATATTTATTATTAATACTTACACTTTAATACAAAAATACCTTACCTTTTCTTTGAATAAAAATTCTAAGCAGAGGTTTTGCAGCTAATAATGCCCTTGCCAAATTGTTGTCGTTGTTAATGGGTAACAAATCACCATCTGTAGGATCTGTGTACCGTATGAGAAAACTTAAATCAGGACCAATATCATGTCGCTCAGCCAATAACTTTCTAAAATCTTCATAATTAATTGCTTCATTACGGTTGACTGAGAACCTTAGGATATCTGCATCAAACTAAAAAATATTCAAGTGAAGAAAGAAAGAATACTTAAATATTGTTATATGAAGTTTTCTTGTTTAATGTAGAGATTGAATTAAAAAGTAACCTACTTTGCTTTTCACTGCGACAATACCATTGTCACCTTGATGGTGAAGTTTGCTTTTAGACATGATTTTTAATTTCAAATTGTTACGATACTGTTACGCGGATTTAGGAAAGATAAAACAATACGACAGGAACGACACGTACTTACAAGTTGGAGATATAAGGTCGAAACGAAGAATGATTATTTTTACTAACAAGACCGTGCGCGGCGCACTTGTCGCTTTACACTACTTTTTAGTACATTGAAGCGGGAGATTATGAATCCCTAACGTAAATGAATTAGAATGTTTAAAATAAATTCGTAATTCATGAATGTGATAATGTGACGATAAAAGCATCTTCTTGATAAAATTAATTTAATCACAGTCAACTCCACATTTTACACTATTCGATTGCGTGTTCTCAGAATCTGAAGATATATTATTTGACAACATTATAACGAAGTTTTATTTTACTTAACTAACTTGTATCTGTGTTTTGCTTGATATAATTCTCTAATTCACTATTGTTTAAATGTAGGGTGCGCAGAAAACCAATTTAATTTTTTCCTGGTCGATATTTCAGACTCTGAGACACCAAGTTCTATATGATGTCATGTCTATCTTGTCCTTAGTCAGTGGTTTTGCTATTGCATCTACAATTTGCAAGTACATATTGTTTCTGTCGTTATGTTATTTTATCTTTTTTAAATCTGCAGAATAATTTGAAATTAAAAATCATGTCTAAAAGCAAACTTTACCATCAAGTTGACAATGGTATTGTCGCAGTGAAAAGCAAAGTAAGTTACTTTTTAATTCAGTCTCTACATTAAACAAGAAAAGACTTCATATAAAAATATTTAAGTATTCTTTCTTTCAAGTGTGATGATATTTGTTACAAAATAAAATGTAATGAATATAAATTGAGAGAATAAAGCATTTTTCTACAACAGGAGATGGAATAGAGGAAATAAATGGATATGGAACAATGAAACCAAAAAATTTGATATCAAGTATTCTTGGTGGCACTCCTGGAAAACCAAAATCATTGGCTATATCTAATCCACATGATTTTAGGCAGGTATGTATTAGTGATATAAATATAAGTTATTTAATGTATCATTCAAGATGTATGTGTGTTAAATACAATTTTTACTGACAGGTATCAGCAATAATTGATGTAGATATATTGCCAGAGACTTGTCGCCGTGTACGCTTATTAAAACATGGTTCTGACAAACCATTAGGATTTTATATTAAAGATGGAGAAAGTTTCCGATTATTACCATCATCTGCAGGAGGTGGAATTGAGAAAGTTCCAGGTGTATTTATTAGTAGATTAGTACCAGGTGGTTTAGCTGAAAGTACAGGTCTTTTAGCAATGAATGACGAAGTTCTTGAAGTAAATGGTATAGAAGTTGCTGGAAAAACTCTAGATCAGGTATGTAGAATTGTTGCATAACCTCTATTTGCATAATTTTGCCATTTTCTTATTTTTCACCTGTGTATCTACGTGTATGTATTTTAAATAGGTTACAGATATGATGATTGCCAATTCTTCGAATCTCATAATCACAGTAAAACCAGCAAATCAACGAGCAGCATTAGCTGCTCTAAGACACGACTCATTTACACAATTTTTTGGAAGTCGCAAAGTGCTATCACTGGTAATGATGAAGATATAGATGAAATTCTAAATTTAACTAATGTACAAGATGATGTATCAAATAATCGTAATTAAGGTGTCTTGCATAAATGAATGTGGTATGAAATTCTGTTTACATTGTCATATTCAATTGAATATTAAATCAGATATTTATCCATTTAGAAAAAGAATTTAGAAATAAATATAAAAATTTAATATAACAATAAGAAATGAATATACTAAAATAAATAGAGTATGCAGTACAGAATAGAGAATGCAGTAGAGAAAGCTACTCTTCGAAATATCTTTTGTTTCCATATTCTATGAATCCTATGCATTTTTGAATTCAGATGGCAATAGCATTTTTTCTTGCGAAAAATGCCGTCACTAAAATTTTTGTTTATTCAACTACAAAGTTAGTATAGAATGTACTCTTCATGTCTAAATGGTCATATTTATAATTATATTGGATTATATCATACATGGATTAATAATGGATTTATATAAAACGCAGGCTCAGAAAATCATTTTCTTTTCGAATGAAATACAACATGCGAATTTCGGCGATCATTACATAATTATTGTTATGGCAAAGGAGAAGCATATTAATATTGAATTCGCTTAAATTAATCGACTTCTTCACTGTGTACTGTGTGTGCAGAGATAGAAAAGATGTATTCGAGTAAGCGTTTAAAGCACTGATTGAAGAGAAGATACTAATTAGTGATTTGTGGTAAATATTTGATTTATAATATATTATTATATAAATTCCTTTTTTTTTTATATTTATAATGTCCTTATTTGTAGGTTGTGTTCGCAAAAAATTCATTCTCAAATTATGGGAGAATTATTACAATTGGAAATGTATAAATGAAATAATTATATATTTGGATAATACACTTGGATAATGATATACATGGATAAACCGTAGTCCGTAAATGGAATTATTCATAATTTAAAAATTGGAAAATGATAAATCAAAAGAATTATTAGCTGTTATATGGAACTGTGAGATAAATCAAAAGAATTATTAGCTGTTGGATGGAATTGTGAGATTTTGGAAAGCATTTGATGTTGCTCTAATATCTTTGTACAAGTACAATTCATCTAAGTTATTTATTGGTGAGTGGATGTTTTAAGCAACCACTTTGACAACCTTAGATTGTCTGTAAAATGTACAATTATACAACTATTTTGGATGTTCTTGAGCAACTACTGTACCTTGACAACCCTAGATTGGCTGTAAAATCTACAGTCATATAGCGATTTTACAGCCAATCTGGGGTCGTCGGAATACAGATTATCATCGAAATGCTCTAAAGGATTAAGTTTTTTTTGTATAAAGTTTTTTTATTAAGAAATAATAAAAAAACACACACGATTTCGAAATTAGCCTAACGTTTGATTCTTTTTTAATATACCTTGATAGATCTCATTTATATTGAAAATTTATATGGGAGATTATCCTGGATTAATCCTTTGATAACTTCCAGTTCAACATGGATTTGTCAAAAAATTTTTTGGGTCTCTGTGTGAATATTTAATAAAAAAATTTAATTATTTTATTTGCTCAAATAACTAAAAGCGAATAAAAACGCCATGAGTCGCGAGAATTTTATTTTGAAATAGTCGCGCGAGTTCTAAGAGAAAATAAAATTTTATATAGAATCATATTTTCAAGTTTTAATAAAATATTATTTAATAAAAATTTATCGAAATTTCTATAGTTCGTAACATATTTTTGAAGAATATTATTTTACATTAATATACATAAAAGTGTTAGTTTATCTTGAGATATATAACTGACTTTAGGATACAATTATATTTCTTTACATATATAATTTACATTTTTTTCGTAATCATTTACGGAACGAATGTAAGATTATAAATTATCTTTTCAGAATAAAAATATTTCAAAAATATTTTTACGAATGTACAATCAATATTTTTTACGAGCGTAACAATCAATTGAATAAAGTGAAAGTAGATATTCGATTACGAATTTTGGTAAGCCTGATAGAGGTCATTGTTCGTCCGGGCGCTCCCCCGATTAGGCTTTCTTCCGAGCCTGACCGAACGATGGCCGAGCATGGTCGAACGTATCCGAAACATGTGATTGGTGGAAAGACGACGCGACGACTTCACGCCTCTGTCGAGTATTTCAATGGTTTTACATGTTCATTCCTGTCGTAAGTTTGACAGCAGGCTGGGTTATAATTGCGACCTGTTGTTGAGAACGATTCTCGTGGTTGAGCCGAAAAAACATCGCGGAACGTTGGTTAAAGACGCCTAGTGGCTGACATATCGGTCAGGCAGACTGGATGTACGCCTATATGAACGCCGACAAGAGATGTTGAAGTTTATCAGAGGGAAGGGCCAACAACCTACGACCGAGCGACAGAAATTACAAAAGGATCTTTTTGCCTTTCGAAAGGTAAGTTCCTCCGATACGAGGTTTCGTTCACACCTGACCCGGCAAAATGACGCCGACACTTTTTTATTTCGTTCATACCTTTATGAGACATTAAGTTTCTTTTCCTCAGACCTATAAAGATGACTGGAATAGATTAGATTTGTAACAAAACAAGTTACTATATATAGAATATCGGGCACGATTATACCGAAAGCGGAGAATTTTGATGCATGGAGAAATAATGTTTTGCATTGTATTTTTATTCACCATAGAGAAAAGTGAGAGCGAACTTCAGACAAATTCATTTTTATTTACACTTAAAGAGTATGGTTTCTGTTTTGCCTTCTTTTATTTGCTTACTTTTAAAATTATAAAAGAGAATGTGGCAAATGGTTAAGGCATATTTTCTTTTTCTCAATACACTTTTTAACATTCCAATTGAGAGGAAATAACGAATCGAATTTGATGAACGATATTGGAAAGGTTAATTTTATCAATCGCCTATCACTTCTTGAAACTTCCCGTTTTTTTTCCGGTCTCTTTTTCTGTCTTATTTACACGTTCATTATTTATAAGCTTTGAATGCTTGGAGCAATCTTCTGGTTTTCGTTACTCTTGATTCTAGGAAGAGAAAGCGAAAACAGTTGAGAGTGTTATAAATTAAATCCCCTTCCTGTGTCGTGAATTAGAAGTTTGGAACGGTTTGCGACTGCGACGTGCAGGATATACCGGCATTCTTTGTGTAATCGTCATTGAAAGAGTATCTTACTTTGTTTCTTTTTTGCTTACATAAGTCAACTGAATTGCAATTGAAAGTTTATTCAATTTTGTGATATCAAGATGTTGATATATTCGCGTTCGAGACGATCGCTTGTCCCGAAACTAAATGGACATAATACACGTATACACATATATGTATGTATGTTAATAATAGAAATTGCCGTAAAACCTGTAGAAAATTTCACAGGGTTGCTGAGATCATACAAGACATCTCTTTTAATATTATGTACTGAGAGCAAAGTAACGAAAGGAAAGGACTTGAATTTTTTAAGAGATTAAATATTTATATCAAGTTATCTATCATTTATATAGATACGATACCATCTTTTCTATTGCAAACATTTATTCAATTTTAATTGGTCTACTTTCAATTGGTTCTATCAAACTTAAACATTGAAACGAATAACCGGCATGTAAAGATAAAAAAAAGATGTTAAGTATCACGACTCGACGAATTATATCATCAATCATGATAATATAATTCGTATGTAATCGAAAGAAAACCTCATCCCGAATTTATACCTGATAAAAGAAATCAGATGAATTTGATATTAATTTCGGTTTATTGAGTACACGTTCGATGCGCGACAAAACACATCATTGATAATTATGAATAATATTTCAGAATGTTTAAACATAGTGCTAGGCTTCGTATCTTATACTGTAGGTAAATGAAAGTTACGACAGTATATAAGAAACTTCCAATATTTGGAATTGCATTACAGTGACGTAACATTATGAAGTAAAAGGTTAACCTAAAAAGTTTGATTAATTTCATTTCTCTGTCTTTCTTTCTTTCTTCTAAGTATCTAATTATCGGATTAATACTGTCGTTTAGAAGCTGTTAGGTTTAAAAGATTAGTTCCGCGACAAAATATTAAGATTTTAAAATTGTTTTTATTGAAATATATGAGACAACATGTTTTAAGAACGAACGTTGCAGGATCAACAGGTCGATAGCTGAAATCGATACTGAAAGTCTAGAAGATGACGGGTGGTCAAGTCATAGTGCAAAAAGTTAGAATTATTGTGGTTGTATGTGTGATGTGATTGGTTCCTTTAGCGGCTTCGTTTCATCGTCGGGTACATTGTCGCAAAATCTTATCAAAGATTAATTTTTTCACCTGCTAGATTTAAAATTTGACATATTTGATATGAATTGCGAAAATATGTGCAGTGGCATTTCGAATGCAATCAGGTCTAACCGATTCCGATCAATTCATCATAAAATACGATGCAAACGTTAACTTGTAACGTCATAATGATGTTATAACTGTGGACCTACATATAAAGATGGAGATGAATATATATCGATTCCATATCGATTATTATCGATGAACTTTGTTATCGAAAATTATCGATACCTTTTAAACTTAAAAAATATCATTAACCTTTCTGTAAAATATCATTTAACCTTTCTGTAAAATATTTAAAATATTTTGTTCACAAAAAATTTACAATACATAAAAGATAATAATTGGATAATAGAATAATTAAATAAAACTATCTACATTTTAATAATATTTATTGAAATATGACTTTAATTTTGAGTCTTACAGATTCGAGGAAAACTATTGAAGTTATACTTAACTAAGCTTTAGTTGGTCGATATTAATAACTGTCTTACGATATATAATGAAGACACATAACATATTCTACTCTATTAAAATTAAAAATTGAAGTCTATATCTATGCCTATATTCACAGTTACAACGGAAATTGCATACCTCATGTTTTCTTCATTTTATTGTTTTTCATATAATGAATGAACCTATGTAGACAATAAAATTATTCCAGTTTAAACGTCTGTACTTACGTGTACGTTACTTTCATTCAGTCAGAAAATGAAATAGGAAATGTAGGTTAATCTACAAGTTAAGCAATTACAAGCAGAAGTAGCGTACTCTGCATGGTAAGGTACACGAGTTGGAAAAAGAAGTAGAAAGCCTGCATAGAGAATGCCTGTTATCTTAATTAAAATGATCACATTTATGCAAACCCCGGTATTTACAGTACAATTTGATTAAAATTCAAAGAACATTTGGTTTCATTACATCATTGAATGATATTTTATCGCTTAATAGGAGAAAAAGCGTGGGACAATAAGATTAAAAAAGATTAAAAAATTAGTCACCTTAGACTCTTTAAAGACTGACGAATGACTGAGGAATTATATAAATTTTTATATAAGGTATTAAAATCGAAGAATTAATTATATCAATCTAATCACGATATTATTTCGAGCAAATTATATTTGGTCTTTAACATCGATTTTATCGATAATTCTGCGTGGTCCTTGTAGAGATATGTCCAAAAGAGAAAAGATATTATCGGTTTTCTGTGCAAACAAACGCATGATAAAAAGTGCCTAGCCCTTTTTACGCTTGCTTTAATATACGCGGAAGAATGTATCGTTAAGTTAAACTCAGTCAGTTAGGTGTGGATTGATATTTGCGAATTATTTCGTGATTTAAATGTAAATTAGTAGTAAAAGATGAGTGATTAAATAAATATATTAAATATTATTATTCTATAATTATTTTAAATTTGATAATGCTTTGTCACAAGCATAACAAATATTTTTTATTTAACAATGTTTAATAAATATTCCTCATAGATAATTTGAATAGTATTATACGTAAAAATATTCTTGTAAAATATGTTATATTTATTTGGTTATTAAACATGAGATAGGTATGGATTTCTTCAATGTTCTAAATATTCCAGTAAAGTGTCTACGTATACTAACGTGAGCTATTTACGTTGAAGAAATGTCACATCGGGTTATTGATCGAATAATAACTTTTAACGTTTTCAAGAATAAAATTAGACCGAGTTATTATCGACCGAAAATTTCTTCCCTTAAAAAGTTTTCACTTATTAGCGGAGTGTAGGTTGAGATTAGTTTAAACAAATTCGAGTGGGAACTGGCAAAATCCCGATACTCTTGTGACACTTGGGATTCCGAAACAAATTTAACTTAATCCGAAATTTTCAAAATATGAAGGATCCAAAAACTCAATTCGGGTATAAACATAAAGAAATTAATATTTCGTTTATTCATTTAGATTGAAATTTAGAAGGGAATCATTTCGTTTCGCAATCGTTTCTCATGGAAATTAGTTGGATCAAGATTTCACTCTCGCTTTCATCTTGTCGTATGTAATCCTAAATCTTAAATATTGTATCGAGACCTATGATACTAAAAAATCTTGGAATTCAAATAGGAAATATTCTTACGTTTTCTACACGTTGTTGCGTACATCAGTTGAAGTTATAATCATTGCAATATCAGTAAATGAAAATTTATTTTATGCCTAATTTAGCAAGAGTCCTTTTTCATTATACTAATGTATTGATTATCGACTAACGTTTTATTCTTCTCGATTATACTAATGTATTGATTAATTTCAGAAGATTAGGATTTATAATTACAAGTATTGAAAAATCATACATTGAACCACCGATTGAAATTGTACTTCGGGTGGAAGAGCACATGTACCGATAAGAAAGAACATCATTTTGCCGTGTTTATCCTTGGGAAGTAAAGAAAAATTATTCGAATCTCACTCGATAAGATTCCCTTATCGAAAATAACAGGGACAATAGATTATTTTCGAGTGTTTCACCCTGTATGACAGAATGTACATTGTTACAATGTACAGTATAGAAATATGTTTTAATTGCCGATCGTAAAAGGTAGGTGAGTACGCGCACGGTCTGTAGAATCTGATTCTTTGATGATTAATCGGCACGTCTCTCATTGTCAGTCAGAAATTGATACCGCGCGGTACAAGTTACCGCGAGAAAGTCGGAAATGAGCGTTAAGTATAATTGGCGTTAATTACATTGAAAACAAGTTACGAGAAGGGAGGACTAACGCCGTGTCGTTGTTTCCTTTAATTGAGCTTGCCTCGTATTTAATTGCTATGCCAGAGTCCACGGTTCTCCTTTTTTTAATTTTCATTTTAATCGTTACAAGTGAACCGATGAGCTCTTCGCATTACCTCGTATTACTTTTTTAGTCAGTTATTGTGTCTATGGTATATTTTCCTTGTTTTTTTCTGCTTTCTTTTCTGATTTTATTATACGAAGTATAGAAGCCTGGAACTTTTATACTACTATCCTTAAAACGCTTTAGCAGATTATAATATATCATTCCCTCCCTTCGACTTCATTCTTCTCCTCTTCCGTCATCATTTTTTGTACGTACGCGTTGTATGACTTTAAAAGTAATAAAAGTAGGCTAAGAAGAATCGAATTGTAAAAGATTAATAATTCTATGTAAAATCTAGTCTTTGAAAAGTTAGTAATTAATTAATTGTGCGATGAAATGGAAATGGAAAATTCAATCTTTAACCGATAATTTGTTCGACTTTTTTTTTCTCTTTCATGTTTTAATTTGAAAGAGAAACTTTACATATTCGAAGTATATTCCTTGCAGGTAATATAAAACTTAATTCATTCGACTTGTATTGCAAGTCTCAAATAAATTGATACCGAGGATCAAACTACACATTATCCCAGAATATACGTGTATCATTGACAGTGCAGATAACGTACATTATTTTTAGCGAGTTTCTCGTATAAATAGTTTACTGATTACGGCGGACAGGGTAAATATTATGGAGGAATGATCAGACGAAATAACTGAAGTTATAAATCTAGCATCGAGATGACTTGCAATTAATCCAATTAAGTAAAAAGAGAAGCTTTCAGAGAAGTTTCAAGGAGACTCTTATTTATATTCTTCCATCTGTTTTTAATGCAATACTCTATGTAATACTCATTTTTTTTAAATTATTTATAAATAGAGAACAAGAAAATTTATAAGCCTTCTATAAAAATGCCAAAAGATCTTTTCTAAGAAATATGAGGCTGGAGAGGTATAGTTAAAATAAACAAGTAGTAGATTTGCGATTGTTTATTTGTCCTATTACTTCTAAGTAAAATTATTCTAACGTATGATTATCAGAATTATTCATTCGATTCACATATAATTAAGGAGAAAACAGTTCAATGCCTTATCTGTTCACTATTTAATTTATCCTCTTCTTTGCAGACAGTGCAGCATGGGTTCCCAAATAAACCCACAGCCCTCGCATGGGATCCGAGTTTGCGACTGATGATCATTGGCACGGCATCCGGCGCTATCAAGGTGTATCCTTTTTGCTCTTGCCGCTCCTTTACGTTCGACTCTTTTTTTTTTCCTTTCTTTCTTTCTGTTCCTTTTACAACTACAGGACATGGTCTTGATACTCAATGATGTTTGTGGAAAATAGGAACGTGATTGACGCCACCTTTTCCTCTTTCTCTTTCCTTCGTGAATACTAATTTTAGATACTCGATATTTTGCGATCACATTAGAACTATTCCTCGAACTATTCACGCCTTGATTTTTACGGCCACGGCTTTCATCCAGAAAATTGATTTTCTTTTTTTTATTTCGACTAAAAATTATTAAACCACGGTCAATCGATCGATAGACTTCCTTTACTGATATAAGGTTTTCTTGTTCGATCTGACGAAATTGAATTTGGAGTTAAGTCGCTCGTGGAATTGCTTGTAGACATCGGATGTGAAAGTATCGCAGTAACAGAGAGTCGCACATAGGAATATAAAATAGCGAAGATTATAGCTGTGTATTGAAATATTACGCTTTGTACTATTTACTAACTAATACGCTAATATTAAGCTATTTGACAAAGTTGATTACTAAACATCCTTTAACATATATTAGTTTTGTAGTAAATATAAAAAGTATATCAATAGAAACTAGGAATGATACTATAATTATATGTATAGAGATCGAAAGTAATGAAACGCGAGATTATTCTTAGAGATAGAAATGAATGAAAGGAGTTTACATTGTATTACATGTTGAAGTCTTAGTGGAAGAAAAAAACCGATAAGGATGTACATTTGAAAGTTTAATCAGCTCGTATTATTTTCTAGAAATCACGAATCTTCCGTTGTTCTGTACAAACTTCATCATCGTTGCAGTAACATGTAAAACTCGATACTGTAACTATTACTATTTCTCCTGATGACTATTTCTCGTTAATATACCATAGGGACGTTAAATCATATTTGGAACATGTACAATATTAACAAAAAATTATACAAACATCTCCTGAAAGCATTAAGAAATTCATTGCCAAATGAACGTTTGGATATTTGTAGTTGTAGACGTAGCATAGATACTTTTATTACCTCGTTATTCAATTCGTGCCGGTTCGATTATTGATCTAACTCTAATCCTGAAGATAACATAGATCTACTCGAAATATTTTACGATATTTGTCGAAATAATATTCATTTACCTGCACTTAGGAGCTTGATATTTAATGCTTTGATGTATTCAGTTCGATTACATACCAGTTGCTTTATCTCAATGGCAGATGTTCTACGAATGATGTGCTACATAATCAGTGTATAATCATTATCATTTCGCAAGACGGATGATAGATATCTTCATGATCTCCGATGGAAATTTTATTTGCAATTGATATTAGAGAGTTGCAAATCGCTTATAAAATGTTTAAGCTCGATTCTCTGTTTTATTTTGAGATAGTTTATACGTTCCTGTATAGTTATGCTTCAAATAGATCTTCGATTTACACGATTTACCTTGAGAATCGGAGTAGAATATTGAATATATAGAATTATGAAGCTTTTATACAATCAGTCAAATTGAATATCCGATTAGCGCGTCTAATCGGTTATTTTTGAAACAAGACCAATGACGATGGTTTATTGCTTGAAATACAACTATCTAATTTTCCTTGACTGACGTACGATTACAGATTTGGTAGACCAGGTGTGGAATTCTATGGACAACATACCATCGAAAGCGGAGAGAATGCTGTCACAAAGATCATTGCTCTGCCCAATGAAGTAAGTACCATTATGACTACTGCTTATTTAAATATATTCTTGATAAGATATCATATACAAAGCTTAATGCGTGTGATCAGAATTGTTTAAAAAAAGGATTAATTTTCAATGTCACATACATAGTAGTTTAATGAATTATAACAAGTATGTAATTACAACTTACACAATTCTAATCTTACTAATTGCGTAGACTGATGCATGTATAAACATGATTATAAGTCTATACTTATCGTCGTTCAACAATATATTAAATTGTTGAAGTTTATAGCCAAATATCATAGATTTGTAATTTTAATCTTTTTATGAGAATTGATTACCAGATTTCATAGTTTCATAGTTTTCAATTAATGGGAGTAGGAAAAATATTAAATAATAAAAGATAAACCGAATTGGGCTAGAAATGAATAAATCGATGTAAGGATTTAATTCGTGTAAACTATACTAAATTAAAATATGTAATAGTGTATGTAATACTGAAACGAATGCAAGCTGACGTATCATCCTAGTTCGGATTTCTTAATGACCACGCTAATAGTTCCTAAACCTTCTAAAAGTATTATCTCCTAATGAGAAATCCTAAAAATTTTCGTTTCGAATTTAAATTATTTCTAGAATGTATGTTTACTAATTACTTTTAGTGTTGTCATTCTAATGTCTAGAAATACTTGAGTAAACTTTCGAAAATAGCATCCATTATAAAAATTTTACATTTCAAATGTTATACGTAATGTATAACGTACGAGAGGAATATAAAAAATTTATTCTTATTGATTTTGATGTTATTTAAATAATTTCTTAAGATAATTATATTCTATAATTATAATTATATAAGTGTTTAATAAGAGGAAGGGAAGGTCAATAAGATGCAAAGACATACATTGTATTTACTCTAAAATAAATTTGTTACTGCATTATTTATCACATATCTTTTCCTCAAGAAAATCTGAAAGGTATTTTTTACATTAGCGTAAAAAATGCATGAAATCTTGCCAATAAAAAGGTAATTATGTATTTTTTATTACGTCGAAAGAGTATTAAATGTGTTAATTTTTTGATTCGGTTGGATATTGATGTTGCTATTTTTTCGTAAGAAAGAAAAGTATTGCATGGTGTACGTTGAAGAAACGGAGTTTAATACCGGCTCGGCGCGCGATAGTACATAATATCTTTTACGTACATTGTAATCGAAAGGACTAGACTAGACGGAGGTGTGAAGTTATGGTTGTTTTAAAAGTGCACATGCATTGCACCGGTAATGCGACACCGTGTTCGGCTTATACGGTGGCCGTCGTTACTGACAGTTGCATAACTGTGTGTGACACGCGCAATGCGCTTTGCATGTGTGTACGAATAAATAATATATGAACACTATTGTTGTTCGTTCCGTAAAGGTCGGGAAACGTACATATATCGTACGCGTCGCTTTTCCTGTGTTCTTCCTCCTGAGAGATAGACAAACTGAGAAAGTTTCGTTGTGAAATTTATTCAATCAATGACGAAATCGCCAACATTCTCGAGACAACGATAGTTATTAGTTTTTGCAGTATTATCACATATAAAATGTATGATAGAATATAGTGAATTTTATATATATATATGATAAAATTGCTTGTGTTGTTTGTTATGAGTCATGAATTCTCGTTATCGTGATCATTTTTCAAGGAAATCCTAAAACCGATAAGATAGCGGCTGTACGATTGCGATCGCTTCGCAATCGTAGCTAAGTATTTGGAATCTTTCATTTTTTTCACATGATGAAATTTAAAAAAAATATAATAACACTATATTATTTAAGACTATTCTGTCTTTTATTAAAATATGCAAATTCAATCGTTTAAATTCAAGTTTAATTGTTTTATTATTTCGACTCTAAAAGAGAAACAGCAAAATTTTCGTCTTTTTCGTCAGCAATGAACATCGATAATTAACTATCATGTGAAACATTCGCTTTTCAATCATTCATGCAAATGGTTCTATTCTCTATCTTCCAATTCGTTTTGATTTTTCACATATCAGATTACTGCAATCGGAATTCAACTTGAATTTCAAATCAATTTCAAATTAGAAAATTGATCAAACACGGAAGAACAAAATTATAATTGTATAAAATGCAGGACAATCCGTCTGGAGTTTGTGTAATCATGTATAATGAATGAGTAGGCGATCCCAGTTATTCAAACACACATGTTAATGATACGTGGAAGGAGCATTGTTCTGCTTGTGAAAAATACGAGTTAGTAGTATATTGTATATTTATATGAAAATATGAAGCGCGATATAACTATTTTAACCTTGTAGCTTCTTCGAGTTTTCACTTCGCCTATTACAAACAAATCGTCTTCTTTGTGAGGGGGAAAAAAGACGCGGGATTTATTCTGTGAGAAACAATGAAGTCATAAAAATTAGCCACAATACTATTCTACTTATCTGTATTATAATTATAGCTATGACGAAATTTTAAATTTCATATTACATAGAGATGACAAATCAAATAACGAGAAACCAAAATTCGATTTTATTCGTTCAAAATGAATGCAATTAGTTATAGTAATCTCTATGTTTTATTCGGAAAATAAATCAGTGATGAATGATTCGTTTGTTACGGATGCAGGGTCGTGTGGTTTCTCTTTGCGATGACAACTCTCTTCATCTGTGGGAAATCAATGAAAGTTCGGTTGTGGAGACCAAGACGCTATCATTGGAGGGTAAGTTGAAGAAAATTTCCGCTATGTGCCTGGAATCGAGCGGCGAGCATCTTCTTCTGGGAACAGAAGGCGGAAACATCTATCTTCTCAATTTGAAAACATTCATGATGCCTGACAATATCATTTACCAGGATGTCGTGATGCAAAAGTAAGAATAATTCATTTTATATTTTAAAGTCTGCATGCTGGATGCCTATGGCAACTGAAAAAACATTTACATATTTCACATTACACATTTACACATTTACATATTTCAGAAGACAAATTGATCAAGCCTACTTTTTATAAAAGTATCAATTTCATATTATCCAGGTGTATAATTAAATATTTAACATTTCAAAAAAGAAATCTTATTTTCATAAATTTGTTTGTCAGAAAGAGAGATAGTATGAAAATTATAAATACGTATTTAAGATCAGGATAACCGATTTGTAATTTTTGAAGCTTGATTTGTTCATAACATTACGTATTGTTTGATCTTTTATTTTATGCAGGAATCTTCTTGGTACAAGTTTCCAAGTTCAATTTAGTTATTGATAGTTTTAACGCGATGAACATAAATTTCTCCAAACAAATATTATTATATTCAAAACACTATCATCAACGAGTAGTCCTAAATTCGCAAGATACAAGCGATCTTAATGAGAATTGACTTTTGCAAAATAATAAGTTTCCCACATAAAATCATACGAATTTTGATACCTTTTTTCAAATAACTTTCATTATAGAACAAAATGTTTGATCGTTAATCACGTTAGATTCACGTAATGTCCGTAACGTATCGATATTTTATGACAGCGTGCCAGATGATTACAAGAAAAATCCAGGAGCGGTTGAGGCGATAGCGGAACAACCAGGTCATCCAGACAATATTCTGATAGGTTACAATCGTGGTTTAATGGTTTTGTGGAACAAAGCGACTCCAGGAGCTCAACAGGTGAGCCTTCATATTACTATTTTGTATCTTTCTTTATACGCATACTATGCATACAAGACTATAGTGTGGCAGATGTAATGACACGCTTACAGAACAATTTCAACATACTTGCTTACTACATTTGTGGGGTAATGCTTAATCCATCGGTACACAGAGATACATTCAGCTCAGATCCCTCGCAAAAAGGAGTAATTTTTCTCGATTAATTTTATCCGATTTTCTCAATTAATATATTAATAATACTTACATTGGAATGTTTCAATCGTGCTGTGATTCTCGAATTTGTATATTTCACTTTGATTTCTATTTTTGCGAACGAAAACTGTTCATAAATATAGGACAAAATATTATGTATATCAATAAGAGTGTTTACATATTTTGTCGCAATTTGAGATATTTTTTAATGGTGAGGAAGTACGATTGGACGGGGAAATTACTAAAAAAGCGCAGCAGAATTAAAAACATTGATGAATTCTGTATCTAAATAACTGACAAATAAAACAGGCTCTACATAGAATGAGTGATATCATTCTTAAGATTAAATAATGTTTGAAAACTTTGAATTTGAAATGGGATATTGCACCGATGAGTTAAGTACGTATCGTGAGATGATACTGCTCGTTCTGATTGTTGTTTGTGTCTTTGGTGGTTTTGGCGAACGTGTACGTGCAGCTGATGGGTTTGTTTTCGCGTACGCAGACATTCGTCTCCACGCAACAGCTGGAATCTGTCCATTGGGTTTCCGAGACCCGATTTGTTTCCTCCCACAATGATGGATCCTATGCATTTTGGAGTCCAGGCAGCGATAGCATGTTGGAATCGACTACACCTTATGGGCCGTTTCCATGTAAAGCTGTGACTAAAATTCTTATTTACTCAACAGCCGAGTAAGTACAGGATTTTCTCTTGATTTACATAACTGTTGTATTGTAGTCTGTAAATGTGTGTGGATTGTACAATACTTGGATTGCTAATGGATCACTTTACAGGCTGGGAGAACTCATTTTATTTTCGGGTGGAATGCAACGTGCGAGTTATGGCGATCGTCACACAATTACTGTTATGGCGAAGGGGAAACATGTTGTTTTTGATTTCACGTCAAAAGTAATCGACTTCTTTACTGTGTTTCCTAAGCAACAGGATGGAAAAGATCCACCCGATAGTCCAGAAGCGCTTATAGTACTGGCCGAGGAAGAGATAGTAGCCATTGATTTGACTGATCCTGACTGGAAAATGATGGCGTTACCCTATCTAGTATCTCTTCATGCAAGTGCGGTAGATATTCAGTTTATAACATTATATATAATTACAAGTATACTATCTCTTTCTTTTATTATGTTTGTAATGTATCTCATTTGCAGGTCACATGTTCACAACACGTTTCCAATGTTCCTGAAGAATTATGGGAAATTATTGTCGCAGCTGGAAAGGCACAAACAGAACATCTATACTCAGATAAACCATGGCCTATAGACGGTGGAATTATTCTTAATCAAAAGTCAGAGAACAATAAATCAAAAGAATTGTTACTTACTGGCCACGAGGATGGGACCGTCAGATTCTGGAATGCAACTGATGTTGTTTTAACGCTTCTCTATAAGTTCAATACATCTGTTTTGTTTACTGGTGAACATTTGGATGTTCTTGAACAACCATCGGAAGATGACGAGAACGAATGGCCGCCGTTTAGGAAACTTGGAACTTTCGATCCATTTTCAGACGATCCGAGATTAGGAGTAAATAAAGTGTTATTTTGCCCGCTATCGTCAAAATTAATAGTTGCCGGTACAGCTGGCCACGTAATTATAGCTTCTTTATCAGCGAAACCTAAAACAAAGCAAATTAAACCCATCACGATAAACATTGTAAACGATCGTGACGGATTTGTGTGGAAAGGACATGATCATCTTCCGGCAAGAACAACTGACATATCTTTTGCAATCGGTTTTCAACCACAAAATCTCATTCAATTATATCCACCGGCTGCGGTTACAGCATTGGCTATATATGGTGAATGGCAACTATTTGCTGTAGGAACGGCTCATGGTTTAGCCGTTTTCGACTATATGAGAGTAAAGTCTGTCACCGTGAAATGTACACTGAATCCAAATGGTAATTATATATATTTTTTTTATATTAAGTATATAAACCGTCAATTTGTAAAAACAATTAATTAGTTAATTAACTCACTATACCATTTCAGATCTTTCTGGCGCAGGTGATACACCGATCTGTAGAAGAAAATCATTCAAGAAATCCTTAAGGGAATCGTTTAGAAGATTAAGAAGATCACAACGTCGAACAAATGCTACTAGTCCAACTAGAAACATGGCATCTGAAAAAAAGAAAGAAACGTGAGTCTTTTTTTTAAGTTTGTTAAATTAAATTAATATTAATATATTAAACAATTGATTTTTAATTTTTAAAGCTCCAGTATTGCTTCCTCTCCAAGTGGTGATCTTTCACCAGTGGAATTAAAGCCTGTGGAAAGACAAGTGGAAGCAAGACCTGTAGACGATGCATTGGGATCAATGGTTCGATGTTTATATTTTGCTAAAAGTTACATTATAAGCAGTAAGTATATTTAATAAATTATTGTTGTATATACATTATGAACATTTTCCTGACATTTTCTTCATTTCAGTGCAAAATACAACGCCTACACTTTGGGCAGGTACTAATAATGGTACAGTTTATGTTTTCACATTAGCCATTCCTGCTGACGGTAAAAGACTAGACGAGGACGTAAATTGTACATTAGGAAAAGAAATTCATTTAAAGCACAGAGCACCTGTAATTGGAATTACAATTCTCGATGGAGCTAACGTGCCGTTGCCAGAACCGTTTGAAGTCGTGCAAGGCTTAAGTCTTGGTCCTAATATGATTTCTCCACACAAAGTTGTAATTGCTAGCGAAGAACAATTTAAAATTTTCAATCTTCCATCCTTAAAACCATATTGTAAATATAAACTTACCGCACACGAGGGTTCGCGAGTAAGGAAAACAGGTTTTGCAAAATTCACGTGTTCAATGGAACCTGCAGGAACACACGAAGAAACCTGTTTATTATGCTTGACTAATCTTGGTGACTGTTTAGTGCTGAGTATTCCCGAATTAAGAAGACAACTTAATGCCGCTGCCATTAAGAAGGAAGACATTAAGTGAGTATATCTACTATCTTAAAATTTAAATTTTTATGTGCAGTTATTATCATCTTATTGTATTGTTTTGTTTTTCTAGTGGAATTTCTTCATTAACGTTTACGAAAGTTGGCGAGGCGTTATATTTGCATTCAAGTTCGGAATTGCAGCGAATTTCGTTGTCAGCCAACAGAGTGACAAAAGCACACTGTGCGTTAAATTTACCACCAAACGCTAGATCATTTCCTGAATCTAACAATGAAGAAACTCAAAAGCAGGATGTGATCGAAAGTACAACAGTAGAAACGGAAAATGAAGCAACACAAGGAAGTCAACCAGCTCCTGTACAAAGGATTACAGAGAATGGTGTAATTGGTTCTAGTGAGTATATCATAATATCTTTACAAACTTTCTAATTTGTCTTCAATATATATTGGATAATCATTAAATTACATATTATTGAATGTTTAAACATACTAATACTAAATATATGTAATCGCTTAGCCTACTTCAAGTATTTTTTATGTATATTTAAATGTTGCTTTGCTATAATTACTCTTCATGAAACAAGCTTAGTTGTATTTTATGCTGATTAACATCATCAAGAAATGCTGCTCCTAACCTTTTAGTATCGATCCTTGAATACATTTATTTTAGCCGGTGGCGAAGAATCTCCTGCAGCAAGTACTAATGATGTAAATGGAGAAGACGATCGTCAAGACTTAAGTTCTATTGGAGATATAACGATTGATAGCGTGAAGGATCATTTACTGTAAGTGAACGTGTTTATTGCTTTTTGTTGTTTTATTTCACATGCTTTTTTTGCTGTTTACGATTAATTTTATGATGATAAAAATGCAATTTGAAAATTACTAAAGAAAGATAGACTTAATTTGACAAGCTTTAATAATAAGTCTGTTGTGCTCGTTTAATGTGTTTTCTACACTTGCCACTTGTTTGGCAGTAACAGTTCACTTTTCAGAAATGCAACGTCTTCCGAAGAACTTCATAGTCGTCTTGCAGGACTTAAAATGGAGGTGACTTCACGAACTTCGGAAATATCCACTCAGAATCAATCCCTAGTTGTAAAGACCACAACCGTCGTTTCACAAACAACCAACAGTACTACTGCTAATGGGGAGATTGAAACAAATCAAATAAATGAAACACAACAAATGAACAGTGAGTGAAATCATTGCTAATTCAAATGAATATGAATTATAAATTAACCGAGTGACGAATAATACGTTATATTAATTTGATTTTTAATGATTTATTGAATTCCTTTTTAAATGGATATTTTTTTTAGGTCGTCCAATGTTACAATATTTGAAGACTGTAAATAATTATATTTTTAATAATTTCACACATTGCATAAATCATCGATTGCTTAATATTTTATATTTGTGTCTCGTCGCTTTGTGATTTTTGTTCTTTATTTATTTATTTATTTTTTTGATACTATTCATACTTTTTTGTTATTGTTTTGTTTTGTGCTATTTGTTCTTGCGCAGGCACTACGGTAGAAAGAGAGATACGCAGCGGTACTGAGACTACAACGACACACGCTACCATTACTCTACCACCAAATGTCGAGGTTAGCAAACGGCACTAAATGTATTGTGATAATTGGTGTCGGACCTTACCTCGATATTAATACGTTCATTACTACAAAAAATTGGAGAAATTAAATTATGTATGGTCTTTCTTTTATATAGCATATTTCACAATACGATATATATATTTTTATTATGTTTAACAACTATCTAAAATTTTTATTTATATCGAAATTAACTTTATATCAGATGCATGCTGGTAGTGAACGTATTAAATCTATACTTCAGGACAAATTAATGAAATATTTTGAATTTTTGGTGTTCCTCAAAAATTTTAGAGTCATCTTTTGCTATTAATATTATTGTTTAAGAATTTCAATTTAGTTTTTATGAAAATCAGGCTTATAATATTATTCTTCTAAGTTTTATTTATTTGAAGTAGATAACTATGTATATATAGAACTTATATACAAAAACTAGATTTAAAGAACACTACAAATTCAAATATATGGTATTATTTTATCATGAAATATATAATTAACGCTTAGCATATTGTACGTTTTTAAGCTACTAACACGATTTACATAATACAGTTTGATTAAAAATTTATTTATTGATTTTTAAGTTGTGGATATATTTCACGTAATGGTATTTAATTTATTAATGTATTAACAAACTTTTTTATATCATTATAAGACTTTATCTAATTGGTTGATGTAGAATATCGTTGAAATGAAACAAAATGCAAGTATGTAATACAATTATTTTTGATATTGCAGATTAGTACAGCTGACTTGGCAAACTTGGAGATAACAACAACTACAGTGACTACTGAAAAGTCAAAAGCTCCATTGGCAAGGCCTGAAGAAATTGGATCTTAGGAATATTTCAAATTGCCCTATGCCCTACTTCCTGATTTTATGTTCTGTACGCAAGACTATGCAACAATTAGATTTTTTGTTACTTACTGGACTCACACAGCGGCGATAGATAGAATTTATATATCGTAGATTTTTTAAAAAAATCTAGATTTATACGCGGCATTAACGTTAGCTCTAAATTATAAGCAAATGAATTTCGAATATTGCAGCGACGAAACATTTGAGATACATTAACTGCCAAGATTGTCGATATATTTTACATTTTAACAGAACATTCTCATTGCATTTCTTTTAATAATTAATTTTATAATTAAAATTTTTGATGGTTTAATAAAACTTGGCCTAGATAATTTTAATAAAATGCATTTTATTTACAGACAAAAGCGTAACAAATTTTTAAGAAAAAAATTGTTTCATCTTGTTTCATCTGTAGATCATCCTATTAAAACATTGTTTTATTAAATACAATAAGTTTTTTATTGATATAGCTTTAAGAGAAAATTGAGAAAAATTTATACGATTCATTTTTTTTATGGTACGTAATTAAATATAATTTGGAAACTATAATTTACAAGGAAAATACATCACAAATCGAGAATATGGCAGCCGTATTGTAACGAATATATTGTGCTACGTCAATTTCTAAAGAATAAAAAGGCGATTCTTCATCCATATAGTATTTAAGAAATAAAGAAATAAACAAAGAAATTCTACTTAAGTAGAATGTTGTAAGTCGCAAAGATTAAGTGAGGGAAACTTAAAATCATCATCAATGGCCATAATGCAAAGAAAACCCGTGATGAATATATTTTTTACCAATATTGTTAATTTAAAAAATTGTTTTTTCTTTGTCAGAAACGATAATAAGTTCCGAATTATAAGAAGGAAAAAAAATGTAATTGTGTTTTAATATTGGTATCATACAATCATACACCTCGTTAGTGATTTAATGCAATATGTATCGATCCTTATTTCACATAAGTTCGTCAAGCCATCTCTCAGAGACAACTATTGGAGATTGTCGGAATTAAATTATTGACAGAATTTTATTACCAACTTCAGTCAACACAGGCTGTTGATACCAACCACAGACGAAATATATGAATAGCACCTAACGGGATTTCGTGGTCGGAGATCTAAAATACCGATATAGTAAAAAATCACTGGTTTTTAGCGCACTCTACGTTTAAAGAACGGTGAATTGGGGAATTACATCAAGTAAAACGATCGAGGTTGGTCACGTAGTGAATGCGCCAGAAATATGATTTTTGAAACCTATTACAGCGTTGTCAACTTTCAATACCGAAATGTGTAGCTAGTAACTAACTGAAATCATCTTACTACATATGTATGATATGTCAGGAAGAGCTCCATTCATGTTTTACGGATTTATCACGACATTTCAATATGTAATAAATTAAAATCTTTAAATTATAAATAATATATTACAAATAACATTTATTTATATTATTTTTATATTATAAATATTTAACATGTAAATAATATTTAGAGATGGTCGAAATCGATGAGTGATTAGTTTTCAAGTTCACAAACCAACGTTTACAAACAAAGCGAAATTTCAAAGTTTTCAAAATTCCGATTGGAAATTCCGAAATTTTCGAAAATTTTTCAAAACAAAATGTGTTTACATCAAAAAAATGTAAATGAACAATGGAAACCAAAACAAACAATCAAAAAAATGTAAATAAACATTGGAAACCAAAATAAACAGACCAATGTTTGCAAACAAAGCGAAATTTCAAAGATTTCGAAATTCCGATTGCAAATTTTCGAAAATTTTTCAAAACAAAGTACGTTTACATAAAAAAAAGTAAATAAACAATGGAAACCAAAACAAACAATCCAAAAAATGTAAATAAACATTGGAAGCCAAAACAAACAGACCAATTTTTGTAAACAAAGCGAAATTTCAAAGTTTTCGAAATTCCTATTGGAAATACCGAAATTTTCAAAATAAAGTGTATTGACATCAAAAAAATGTAAATAACCATTGGAAACCAAAACAAATAATCAAAAAAATGTAAATAAACATTGGAAACCAAAATAAACAGATCAATGTTTGCAAACAAAGCGAAATTTCAAAGTTTTTGAAATTCCGTTTGCAAATTTTTGAAAATTTTTCAAAATAAAGTGTGTTTACATTAAAAAAATGTAAATAAACATTGGAAACTAAAACAAACAGACCAATGTTTGCAAACAAACCGAAATTTTAAAGTTTTCGAAATTCCGACTGGAAATTCGAAATTTTCGAAAATTTTTCAAAACAAAGTGTGTTTACGTCAAAAAAATGTAAATAAACATTGGAAAATAAACAAATCAATGTTTGCAAACAAAGCAACATTTCAAAGTTTTCGTAATTCCGATTGGAAATTCCGAAATTTTCGAAAATATTCAAAACAAAGTGTGTTTACATTAAAAAAATGTAAATAAACAATGGAAACCGAAACAAACAATCAAAAAATGTAAATAAACATTGGAAATCATAACAAACAGTCCAATGTTTGCAAACAAAGCAACATTTCAAAGTTTTCGAAATTCCAATTGGAAATTTTCGAAAATTTTTCAAAAACAAAGTGTGTTTACATCAAAAAAATGTAAATAAACATTGGAAACCAAAACAAACAATCAAAAAAATGTAAATAAATATTGGAAACCAAAATAAACAGACCAATGTTTGCAAACAAAGCGAAATTTCAAAGTTTTCGAAATTCCTATTGGAAATTCCGAAATTTTCGAAAATTTTTCAAAACAAAATGTGTTTACATCAAAGAAATGTAAATAAACAATGGAAACCGAAACAAACAATCAAAAAAATGTAAATAAACATTGGAAATCATAACAAACAGGCCAATGTTTGCAAACAAAGCGAAATTTCAAAGTTTTCGAAATTGCAATTGGAAATTTTCGAAAATTTTTCAAAACAAAGTGTGTTTACATCAAAAAAATATAAATAAACATTGGAAACCAAAACAAACAATCAAAAAAATGTAAATAAATATTGGAAACCAAAATAAACAGACCAATGTTTGCAAACAAAGCGAAATTTCAAAGTTTTCGAAATTCCNGTGTTTACATCAAAAAAATGTAAATAAACATTGGAAACCAAAACAAACAATCAAAAAAATGTAAATAAATATTGGAAACCAAAATAAACAGACCAATGTTTGCAAACAAAGCGAAATTTCAAAGTTTTCGAAATTCCGATTGAAAATTCCGAAATTTTCGAAAATTTTTCAAAACAAAGTGTGTTTACATCAAAAAAATGTAAATAAACAATGAAAACCGAAAAAAACAATCAAGAAAATGTAAGTAAACATTGGAAATCAAAACAAACAGACCAATGTTTGCAAACAAAGCAACATTTCAAAGTTTTCGAAATTCCAATTGGAAATTTTCGAAAATTTTTCAAAACAAAGTGTTTACATCAAAAAAATGTAAATAAACATTGGAAACCAAAACAAACAATCAAAAAAATGTAAATAAATATTGGAAACCAAAATAAACCGACCAATGTTTACAAACAAAGCGAAATTTCAAAGATTTCGGAATTCCTATTGCATACTTACCTATACTTACCTATACTTACCTAGTATCCATGAATTATCCACAAGTGTTAGAAATGATTTGATAATAATTCACTTAAAAGTACGTTAATATACGAATACTTACCTATACTTACCCAGTATGAACTGTCCACACGTGTTGTAGATGATTTTATTGCATAATAGATCACTTAAATAATAAATTACAACAATTGAAATATATACATACATCAAAAACTTTGAAATTTCTCTCTGTTTGCAAACATTGTTTTGTTTATTTTGGTTTCCAATGTTTGTTTACATTTTTTTGATTGTTTATTTTGGTTTCCAATGTTTATTTACATTTTTTGATTGTTTATTTTGGTTTCCAATGTTTATTTACATTTTTTTGGTGTAAACACATTTTGTTTTAAAAAATTTTTCGAAAATTTTCATTTGGAATTTCGAAAACTTTGAAATTTCACTTGTTTGCAAACGTTGGCTTAGGTGGGGAGCATTTACTACTTGACCAACCTCAATCGGTTTACTTGTAATTCTTCAATTCACCGTTCTTTAAACGTAGAGTGCGCTAGAAAACCAGTGATTTTATTTACTATGTCGGTATTTTAGATCGCTGGCCACGAAACCTGGTAAGGTGCTAGGTCTATTCATATACCTCGTCGGTAGGATAGGGTAGCAATATACATTAATTGCGCCGTTCAACGCCATTTGGTTACTACGTGATGCTAGTGTTTCAATAAAGGATTCAAATTGTCATTTATAAATGACAGCAATATAGGATATTTAAAGATGTTGGACATCTTAGGGAGATAGATATAAAATAAAACGAGAGAAACTGAATAAATGGTACAATGAAATTACACTGTAGATGTACCATACGAAGTGTTATATGAATGAATCAACAACATTGTTTTATTGTCAATTGACCATTTGATCAGTGCTTATGTTATATTTTTTAACACGGTTTTATTAATTGCTTTATCTACAAAGTAGATATCTACAAAGATTTGTAAATATTCATTATCATATTTATTTGTCTTTTATTCCTTAAAAGTTTATGGTAATATGTAGAATTTATAATGTCTGAGGAATATGTTATGGTTTTAGTATTTAATGTTTAATCATTTTGTGTGATGAATGTTGATACATACAGTGTTATTTATTTCCAGGATATTTTATTGAAGCAAATTTGAAAAAAATTATGTCTGTATTAACTGATGCATCTCCAATTATTACGTACGATAATCTAAATGAAAATATATTAAATAAAAGTATTTTATGGAAAATAGAAAATGACTTTGACATTGATGAAAAAATGTCTGTCTTATTTTTGATGATAGATGATTATGAGCACAGCTTCCAAGAAGTCTATGACTTATTAAAAAAATGTAAAGAAGACCAAGCTTTTATACTCACAGAATTTGTAAATAAACATCCTGATAATTGGAAAAATAAATTATTAGAAGCTACATGTGTGATAAATAATCGGCAAGTTATACGAAAATTGGGAATATCATTTGAAAGTTTCAGTTTATTTTATAAGCCAAAGATCAGATCATATTCCAGATACATAAATTTAGCTGCAAAATGTTTATATTTATTATGTGAAGCTCTTTGTGAAGATAAAACTAAGTTGTTACTGCAGTATATTCAAACTGATTTAACTCCATATGAGGAAAATTTAAAAAATATAGATTTTCTTGAATTACATATGTTATATTGGATGAGAGAAAATTATATTTCAATATATCCAGGTTTGTCATTTTTCATTTGTTCTGTGCCATTTTATACAATTTTTTGTTTACATTGTATTGTTCACAATGGATAATCATCTTAGATGGAACTGCCAAACTTAAAAATTTGCTTAAACATTTAAAGACTTTGGAAGATTTGGAGCTCATTTGCGAAGATCTAAAGAAACGTGAGAATCATCAAAATGTGTTGGATATACAACATTCTCTTAATACATCTCATGTACGAGAATCTTTCATGGAAGAATCATCAATATTGTCAGATGTGGAAGAAAATGATATAAGAAAACTAAACAGTGGCCTTTGTATTATTATAAGTCAAATGCTTTTTGAAGGTAAAAAGGTATCATACTGATAAATAAATTTTTTTTAAATTTCAATATACAGGAAATTCCATGTACATGTATATATATGTGATAAGATAAATTTTTGTTTCAGTTTGAAACTAGATTTGGAAATGCAAAAGATTGTAAGACGTTATCTGAAACATTCAGGAGATTTGGTTTTACAGTTACACAGTTTAATAATTTAACTGAAGATGAAATATTTACAGTATTAGAAAATATTCCAAAAAATTTTGGCACTAATTATGATTGCATTTTTCTATGCATTTTAAGCCATGGTTGCAAAGGTAAAATTTAGTAAATTTTATATAAGCATTATATTATATGTAACTTATTATTGATTATTAATCGTCATTAATTCTAGGTGGTATTATTAGTACAGAAGGAAAAGAAGTTAGCATTGAAGCAATTGAACATAAATTTTGTTGTGTCGAATTGGAAGATGTTATTAAAGTAGTTATTATACAAGCTTGTCAGGGAAATGTGAAAGGTTATCTTTATATTTATATTGATAAGTTATAACTATTATATATTATATAGGTTAATAGGTTAACATTTTAAATTGTATATACAGAATAATTTTGAATTGCAGGACAAGTAAATGTCAACGAAACAACTAATTTACTTACAGATGGTCCTACAGATTGTAAAAGTTCGAATATTTTACCATACAAAAATTTCTGTATATTTATGTCAACTATGCAGGGTTTTATATCTGTACGTCATAAAAAAGAAGGTAATACATAATTATCTTTATGTTATATGTTAGTACCTAATATATTTGTTATTGGTATTATTATTTATACATTATAAATTTTTATTTTATAGGATCCTGGTTTATCCAAGAATTTTGTAATATTTTACAAAGTGGAAAAAATAAAATTACATTCTTGGAAGCTATTAGGAAAACAATTCATTCAGTAATGAAAAAGAAAGGGAAATTAAATGAAACAAATTCCATTGCTCAGTTACCTGAATTAAAAACATGCAGATTGCTTACGGATTTCCACTTACCAGACTACCAAGAACACATATAAAAAGAGAAGGACAATTCTTAAACTGTTCTACTATATTTTATAAAGAAGACAAAATATGTTGTTTATATACTGTATAATTTATGTAATAAAAGTTATTGATGTTTAATTTTTCTTGTTTCGTGTGTTTCTGTTTACGCATGCATCAATTAGAAAGCGGATAACAAAGAAATAAATAATTTCGACAACAGACATGAAACTAAATCCGGCGAAAACTCCTAAGAGACCGCCAAATGTAGCTAAAACAAACATTAAGTTTACATTACCATCATTATTAATATTATTATATTTCAATTTAAATTCACTCATTTGAAAAGAACAATTGATTAATTATACCAAATAAATGACGCCAGTTGTAATGTGTTTCTCTTCGGTATTGAATAGACACTAGGTCTCCGAAAAATATATGAATCTCACTTTGATTTTTCCAAGTTTTGTCCTTTCTGCAATGAAAGATACATATTCGTGACAAGTATTTTTGATTATTTTATTTTTAGTATTTTAACAATTTGTTTTAACATGACAATAAAGGATGTCACTTTTTTTTTTATTAAAACCACTGCAGAAAAATATGTACACAATTCATTTATAAATATCCAATACTTCTTTCAAATTTCAAACATTCTGTGAATATGTTCCTCAATAAAGAATCAGTCAAATTACCTGGGATAAGTGTAAGTAAGATCTTTATCAAGATCTCCTGCCGAATTCTCTATGACATAACGATAAAAATCACAATCAGGCATGCAGGCACAAGGTCTTCCGTAACCGTCCAAATTTACATGCGGTAAAGCTTTGGGCGACATATCCATTCCTGGCCAAGAGGTATCGTACCAAACTAAAATTTAATTTCATTATCCTTCACCTGTTCAAGAAAGGGGCCAGGGAATTAATGACACTGTGGATATCCGATGCTCACATTTGTACGTTTCTAGGCATTCAATGTCTCTCAAATCGCAAACTCTGATGTCTGTAACACAGAATATTATTCACCTTGAAGCTAATAGATAAGAAGGAAAAATTTGTATATAAGTTTTTATTCTTTTTTTTATAGATAATTTTTGTTTCATTTTTTTTTTATTGAATAATTATTAAAAGAAACGCTGTACTTTACAAAATATATAGATATATATTTTTTACAAAATACTCGCTATTTATCAAGTATGAGATAAGTTGCGTTTAGAGGAAACTAACTGTTTTGCGGATAATAGTACGGAACGCATCCACATATATTCTTGATGAAAGATGCTCGACAGTTTGTCAAACAATTTATGAACGAATATTTGACGGGAACAAAGTGTTCGTTCCAATTGTTACCAATAATTTCATTTGCTTCGCTGTGAAATATGCACTGTCTCAAATTTGGATCTAAATAGGTGATGTCAGCGGCCGAGCGCATCTCTACGGGTTTGATAGATAAAAATGCGTATTTATTCACGCCTATGAATTTGCTCGGTGCGTCGTAATCAGGGTAATCGTAAGGATCGTGTAGCATGATCTGTGAAAACATGGTAGAAATATACGATTAAATCAATCATACATATGGTCTCAGATGCAAAATATTAACGTTCTTTTTTTGGAAATGTATACATATTCATTTCGTGAAAGTATTTTACAAAAGTTTTTAAAGAATCGAGACTGAAATCGGGTATAAGGGATACTCCAAAATTATGACGAAAGATTACAATTTCGAATATTTCTTTTCTTCAAAAATCAACGCTAGATATTACCTTCACACCTACAGATTCCATAATACCGGCATCATAATTGTCGATATCAAGATTAAGCACCATACTGAGTCCACTTTGATATCCACACGAAGTCATTTTACATGGTTTTGTACTTCAAAGAGGAGAACATAATAAAATTCGTAATTCGAACAACAACATGCGTAAATTTAGGCTCTTACTTTGGCTGTTTCATAATCAAGTCGTGAGTAATGTAATTAAAGCTGCAACACACTCCATCGCGACTGATACTTGGCCGAAAAATGCTATTGCAATCTTTCGTTCTCGACTTCCATTTGCACGAGACCAGGAAATTTCGACAACTTTGTGCAACCTGGAGTTGAATATCGTTTCTATTTAACATGCTTCTTACAATGGTCATGAGCGGGTGATCCCTCTACATACCGAGTTCATGATTGTTGGTATTGAAAGTTTGTTCATGTCGAAGATGTTCTGCAACTGCGAAAGATTATTCCGAACGCGTGACCCGTATATGCCGGGATACAGTAATTCGTTCAACAGTTTCATTTCTTGGGCTACGAATTCCTTTGTCACGGTGGGAGGAAGTGTCCTGCAAATAAAAAATAAGAAACATCACATGTCATTTGAGTGAATGAAATAAAACCTTGATGACGGAGAGTTTGTCGATTTCGTGAGAAATCACAAATCATCAACTGACTTTTTACTACAGATTCGCGTAAATTGACATAAATAACAAGAAGCTTGATCAATCAATAATTAACGATATAATAACAAGAAGCTTGGTTCAGAATCGGTCAGAAAAAGGAAATAAAATACTCACAAGTTCTCGACGAATTTCTGCGTTAGATTAAGAGATACGCGATTGATATCGCATACAGTGATCGCTGGGAATGGATAATTCCATATTCCATTATGGGTCGTTTCGATGACCGAGAGGACAAAGTGTTCGGCGAAAAAGTTCAAAGTACTTTTCAGCAATCCGAGGGCGATACACAGGGATGAGACGACCGTTATTGCCCATGCGATTCTGCCGAAATGAATGCGAAATGAGCATCGTCGCGATTGCATCGCGGCACCATTTAATTGGAACAAGGGTGAAATTAAGTTCCCTTAATGGCGCACACCTACTTCTAATCGACACGAGCACGGCGATTTAATCAGCAAGCTAAATGAATTTTGGAATTCGCGAGTTCAACATGATTTTCGAATCATTTGCAGATCGTATATTGCTGTCCTAATTATGTTGCTTCCTTTAATAATCACTTACGCGTAGATGCATATACTAAATGTGGATAATCATGAAATGAACATAAAAGTAAAACAAAATAAAACACTGGCAATGAGATGTTAATTAAAAATCAATATTTCGTTCTAGAACGTAGTTATATTGTTCTAGACACAAATGTACATTTATCTATACGTAGTTATATTGATGTTGATTAAAAAATCAATATTTCGTTCTAGAACGTAGTTATATTATTCAATATAAAAAATTGAGATGTTAATTAAAAATCAGTATTTCGTTCTAGAACGTAGTTATATTGTTCTAGACACAAGTGTTACACTTATCTATAACAGATTGATAAAATTCATGATTGCTTACCTTTCTATCATAGGACGTTGGGTATCACAAATATACTTGCAACCATGAAGTCCCGTTTCGTGACAGAATTGCGAGATATATCTTTTTAAAGTGTAAAAGATTTTTCGTACAACTTTTCCCAAAATACCGATGAAACTCCGTTTTCGCATATGTTTCATGTTTTGAATTGTTTAACGAAGGCTCAATTTCTCTATCAACTTTAAAATATACTACTTCATGTATTAAGGCTGTGTGAACTTTTCCTTCAATTTAATTTATTTGTTTTAAATTATTAATGTAGTCAGCGTTGAAAAGAGTGTAGCGTATACAATTCGATTGAATGTTGCAAACAAATTATTTGTAATTCTGAGAAAAAATTGAAAAATACCTCGATTAGATTGATTATTTAAATTTCAGCTAATTAATGATAATTCGTCAACTATTATTATATATAGTTAAGTGGATTTCAATGATTTTAACCACGTAGTGTTGAAGATACGACTATCGAGTGAAATGTAGCAGTACAGCAGCTCTCTTGCTTTATTGAAGAACGCATGATACGATGCATGCGATGTCGCGTAAAAAATTCATTTCGTACTTTTTACCGATTGTTCTCTGATAAGTTTAGATGTATGATACGAATTCCCGAGCCTTTCGTGAAAAACGATTTTCAACTGCGCGCAATAGTACGTGATTAATATTAAATGTACACGGCATTTATACGTGAGAATTCGTAGAAATGATCGGTATAGCTATGAAAAAAAAAAAAAAAAAAAAAAAGGAACTCTAGCGGATATTTAATCGAGCATTAAAACGTTTCTTCGTTTTTTCTTCTGCAACGTTTATAANAAAAAAAAAAAAAAAAAAGTGAAAAGTGAGAACAGAAACGAAGAACTTCATCGCTTATTTACCGCAATTGAAAAAAAATTACAAATTCAGGTGTATATTAAATTCTTAAATATTGATTTATTAAATGAAATTAGGTATAATGAAAAATGTAATTTTATACTATAATATAATTATATAATATATTATAAAATATATATACTATAATATAATTATATTATACCGCAATTCAAAAGAAAATTACAAATTTAGATGTACATTAAATTCCTAAGTATTGATTTATTAAATAAAATAGCAATCTTCAAATTAAGTATAATGAAAAATGTAGTTTTATACTATAATATAATTATATTATATTATACCGCAATTAAAAAGAAAATTTCAAATTTAGATGTACATTACATTCCTAAGTATTGATTTATTAAATGAAATAATAATCTTTAATTAGGTATAATGAAAAATGTAGTTTGATATTATAATATAATTATATTATATTATACCGCAATTGAAAAGAAAATTATAAATTTAGCTGTATATTAAATTCCCAAGTATTGATTTACTAAATAAAATAACAATCTTCAATTAAGTATAATAAAAAATGTAGTTTTATACTATAATATAATTATATAATATATATACTATAATATATTATAATATACTATAATATAATATAATTATATTATACCGAAATTAAAAAAGAAAATTACATATTTACATGTATATTAAATTCCCAAGTATTGATTTATTAAAGAAAATAACAATCTTCACTTAAGTATAACGAAAAATGTAGTTTTATACTATAACGTAATATTAATTTTATAATATTATATTATAAAAATGTAAATTTATAATATCGTAGCTGTGATAATTGTGAAAATCGCACGTGGCATAATTTGTAAGGATAGAAATCGCAAAACTATCTTTCCGGAGGAAACAAATCAATGCAGTGACTGTTCGAACGCTGACGGACGGAGCTCTATCTCTTTCATCTCATCCCGATCCCTATCGCGAAATTTCTTTCGAGCTGGTATCGCGCAAAATATTCCTCCTCTTTTTTCTGTCTTCCTTTCTTTTTTTTTTTTTTTTTTTTTTTTTT